CAGCATTTTATTCTTTTTCAGGTTAAGAAATCATAAATATTTTGTTTTTAATATTTTTTATAATATTTAATAATGAGCTAGGATGAGGATGAATTGTTTAGTGCAAAAAGTGAAATATTGTTTAATGTAAAATAATGTGAAGAATTATTCTAAAAAGATAAATCAGAAAAGTAATGAATGTTTATTTTCAGATTAAAATAAGACATTGAAACTTTTAAGAAAAATATCAAGACAGCCAAAGAAAAAGAGGAAGAATTCTACAAAACATTATTATTAGAAGAAAAAGAATAAGAAAGTATTTTTGGATTTCCTGGTTATTAAAAGAAGGAAGAACCAAAAGTGATTGTTTGGGATCCACTTGAGGGTAACTTGATAATTACTGAGCATGAATTCAAAAAAAAATATGACTAACCTAGACAAAAAAATTCGAATAGATAAAGTCAAATACCATTACAACCTGAGATTTATATAAATGAATGAATATTCTGATAACATATAATACACATCAACTTTATTTAAGTTTATTTAATCTTCTCTCTCTTCTCCATATAGAGAATACTGTGATAAAAAATAATGTAAATATTCCTATCCATATTATTATAATGTATGTTGGAAATTTCTCAACAAAAATTCCTTAATAATTTCTAAAGAAAAGGACCCATTCTCCTAAAACTATAGCATGCATCAACCAAGCATTGGGACCTAATCTTGTAACATTCCTGGAATTATTAATATTAATTACTCATCTGAAATATATACATAATAATCCCTAGCAGCAACTATAGAGAAGAAACCCAAAGGAAACACTCTAAATTTCATAACATTATGAGCTGTGTTGATTTAAAGAACAAATTTATTAAAAAAGAAACTTAAGTCGCAAAGGTTCATAAAAACTAAAAACCAAATTACTAATAAAAATCTTTTAACAGAAGAAAAGACCTTCCATTCAATTTTATCTAACTAAGGACTTATACATAATCTTTTAAAATTCTTAAACCAAGAATCTTTTCTATTTTCTTTTCTTAATGACCATTTGTATTCCTTCATTCCAAATAATTTCATAGTGTACCAACCTATAACAATTCCTCCAGTATTGCAAACAATAATGTCTAAAATGACATGATCCCACCAACATTCCCAAAAATTTGGTAACCAATGTCTAAATGTAATTTCCATAAATTCAAAAGCAATCTATTAAAACATAGCTAGTTTAAAGTCTCTTAAAATCCACATTTTAACTGTCCATCCAAAAATGTGAGCTGGAACAAAAACATCAAATGAACTTGTCAGATTATAAAATTTTGAATGTTCATTCTCTGGAGTATAAAATCTACAATCTTCTGCATAACTTTTTTAGGGGAGTGGTTTTCCTAATTTTGGATCCACAAATTATTAGAGAAATTGTTATAGTTATTCAGGAGTCTATTAAATAAGAACAAAATTATACAAAATAAATAAGGAAAACAATACTCATCATATAAACACAAGCCCAACTTTATAATAACCTCCAAAATAATGGGTGTGGTCTTTGTATAAGTGTATTTGGAAAATAGCTACCTCCGTAAGCACAAAATGCCAGAAAACTGAAGATATATCCTATATATGCACTATCTTAGAGAGTTTCTCTTTAAAACCAATAACTGGTGATATATAAAGTAGTAAGCATAAAAATTAACAAAGATATGGTCCTAGATCTATAGAATATACTCCATCCCTCAGATTCATGGAAAAACGTTGATTAAATGTTTGGAGGAATGTATTCTCTTTACAGCACTTCACATTGTATTCCTAGATTCAATATTCTAAAAGAAATACCTATGTCAATTTTCTTAGGTTATATTTCCATAAATAAAAATAATTTAATATAGATGTTAAATCAAAGTGATATTAATAACGTAGAGAATGTAATTTAATAGGTTATTGATTCTCTTTCGATTTGTAGGCAAAGAATAGAAGAATTACACATTGAAAAAGAGTCACATGATAAAATGAAGGAAAATATGGACTTAATTAAATCTAGCTAATAAGATTTTCATCATATAATTAACGAATATTTTAAGGTAGTTGGAGAGAATTTTAGAACTTTGTAAAGTAGATACCCAAATTCTGAAGTTAAAAGTATTTAAAATATTAATGTTAGAGGATATAATTTCACGATTAGATGAATATACATAAATTTTAGATAATTAAGCCATAAAATTAGCTGAAAATTAATACACCTAAAAGGATTATGAATACTTTACATCATAAAATTATCCAAAATTAATGTATTTTATTCTAATATATGTTTTAGAGATGATTCATCTAAAGAAATAGATGAATTAGCAACTTATTCATAAAAAACAAGTAGATAAGATCAAGATTTATTACCTTAAGTTAAAGTTAATCATAGGGTTGTAGAAGGCTTATATTTAACACTTAATGATTATGCTTCAGTATAATGGAGTGGTGATATACCTGTTGAAAATTGTCATAAACCAATAATTGAATCTAAAGGAGGAATTTCATTGAATCATTTAATTATTTTAGATGAACGTCATCTTTAATATGGACTTTATGATATTGCCACTAATTAGTATTAAGTTCATTAATATAATTCAAAAGTGAATATTAATTATTCACCAACTGTTGTATACGGAGAATCAGGCTAAACTTATCTAATAGGAGGAGTTACTTAATAAGGATTAATAAGTGCTTCATTTAATTAATTGGATGTTAATTCTGGTCAAATTACTAGTTTACCAGATATGAATGTTAAAAGAGTTGGTTGTAGTAGTATTCTCATTAGAGAAGGAGATTGTTAATATCTTTATGTGATTGGTGGAAAATCATGTAGCAAAGTGAAAACTAAATTATGTGAAAGATTCAATTTCACAACCTAAAAATGGGAATTTATTACAAAAATGAATCATGCAAGGTCTAATTCAGCAATTGCAAAACATGATGATTATATTTATGTTTTTTTTGGAATAGATTCTGAAAATTAGAATTCAAACGTTATAGAAAGATATAATTATGCTAACACAAAAACTTGGGAAATAATTGGAATTTAAAATTCATTACCAGGATTTGACAGTTCAAATTGCTCAGCAATCTCTATCAACTAAAATTAGATTTTGTTATTGGGAGGAATCAGATATAGTATCATATTCAATGATTAAATGTACTTTAATCGAAAATTACTTACATTAAACACAACGAACAGTACATTTTCGGTATTGGATAATTAATTACCAATTGATTTTATACCTTACTCTCATATGGTTATTTATAACAATGAGATATATGCTATTGGATATACAATGAAGTAAGTTGAAGTTAAACCAACCCTTTTTTTAGATGGAGGCTTTGTATTAAAAATTAGTAAAGATTATGTAAAAATTCTGAAATATATACCAGCATATTAAGATAAATAAAATTGAAATAAAATCATAAAATTTATTAGAATTAAATAACTTTTTGTTTATTGTTAATTTCACATCTAATTTTCCAAATTTTTCAATAAAAAAAGCATAAAAAAAAGTATTTTTAGATAATTAATTGAATTATAATTTAATAATTTTTATATCAATTTTTTCGTTAAGCAAAATAAATTCAATGCTTCGTTTATCAATTTCAACTTGATTTGCTGTATTACTGAAACTCTATGTTTAAAAGTAAAAGTTTTTTGTTAAAATAGTTCAATTAATTTCAGCTCTTCATCAAAATAAAATCAAAATTAAGTAGAGAGATTTAATAATGAAACATGATGTAAGAATGACTACTGGAAAATAAAAACATTAAAAATATCATTTTCAGGCAAGATTACTTTGCAAATTAATCAATATAATCATTATGAATTTTTTTTTTAGAATTTTAGATAAAAGTTGAAAGATTTTAATGCATTTTTAATTTATAGTCATCCAAAATTAACAAGCAAATAATTTTATTATAGAATAAGAGTAGCAGTTGATCTTTGAAATAAATAAAAATCTTATCACTAATTTTAAATACCTTTCATTATCGTTTAGATAAGTTATAAATAATGGAGTTTATAAATAACGATATTTTAATTAATTTTTTTAGATATGAATAATTTGGCTGCATTAGGAGAGCAAATGTAAAACAAATAATCAATTATTCGTTTTATTTTTATTTTATTTAAAATATAATTATAACCTTCACTGTTTTAAGATTATCAATTAATATAGAATTTTGCCAATTTAAAAAGAAAATAAAATTGTTTTGATACAAATAAATGTTTATTCATGTGTAGACCTTAAATATCTTTGAATGTATAATTTATTATAAAAAAAATTGAATGTTTATTATTTTTGTACAATTTGATTATAAAGTGATAAACCAAAATGATTAAAAGATATATTTATTTTATGATTTAAAGATTGAGTTATGCAGATATTAGATCTCCCCAGATAAATTAAAACAATTTTAAATAAGCAGTTAAACCTTTAAGACCTTCTAAATTTTTAAATGACTTTGAAAGTGCCCCAAAAAACTTTATAAAGGAAAAGGAAGTTTATGACATTGTTGACTATGCATTTCCTCGAACATCAAGAAGAAGGGCTGCTCTAGGAAATGATAAAGTTTAACAAAAATTCGAAATAGCACTACCAAGTGTTTAAAATTTATCAATCCATAGTGTAAATCAACTTTCTCATAGAGAAGTTACTGCTGATTTGAAAAAGTCTGATGTTTTCCACTTTGATAAAAAAATAGAAAACGAATTAGAAAGCATTAATAGAAAAATAAAAAAGATAATCAATAGCAACAAAAGATAAGTAACATTTTAATCATCTTTAATTGTTATTGATGAATAAAATAAGATTTCTCAAGTAAGAGACCCCTACATCTCAAATGATAATTAAATTAGAAGAAAAACGATAGTAAGACATAAAACATTAGAGGTTTGATACTTTATTTAGGAAATTTCTTCATTATGTTGATTAATATAACATATATAATTAAAATTTAAACAACCGAAGAAAAATAATTTCATAATATCATTTTTGAGAACTTAAATCTTCGATTTATTTCTTAGCAAAGATAAGTCCATTCTTCTCTAAAAATCTCTAAATTTATTTGAGATGATTCAGAAATTATGGTTCTTTACCATTTTCTGCTTATTCAATCTAAAATTGATTAGAAAATAATCTTACAAATTATAAAATAGGTTTTATGATTATTTCAGGTCCTTCTCTATCTAATTATAGTAGTTTTGCTTTAATAAATGCTTTCAATAATAAGTGATCCTAAAAATATGCATCATCTATTCTATTTCTAAGCTTTTCAAAATTTTCATAAATAACTTTCAATAAACTCTATTAATCTTTGATATCAACTGGTAATTCAATTATAATTTAAGCTGTTAAATGTAGCAGCTATTCCAAATTGATTTTTTCTGAACTATTTTCAATAAGAATTAAGGCTTAATGTAAATGTTCAGACAATGCTTTACTATATCCTTGTTTAAATGTATATTCTAAAGATAAGTATAACACTTCAGATATAATAAATGGATCAGTGACTCTAAAATTTTTCATTGATTCAAAAAGCTTTTCATATTCTGCCTCATCTACTTATTTTTAAGACTAAATGACAAATTTGTACATTTAGACCAATAATAAGAATTCAGATTCTCCATATTATGAAATTTCATCATACAATTCTTAGATTAATTAACATGATTTTTCATAATTTTCTCTAAGATATGATCTGGCAATTCTACATTAACATAAAATTGATTTAGGTGTTATTCCACTTGCAAAAGTTTCATAAATCTAAAATAAATTAAAATTAATACTTCAAGGGCTTTTTCTAAAAATGATCTTGATTCTTCTTCTTATCCTGAAATTAATAAGAATTCAGCTAAAATTTCAAAATTTCTAGCAATTTTACTCATTGCTTATTGTTTGCCAACTTAATATTTGATCTATTCTACATTCTCTTTATGTTTAATTATGTCATTCACAATTTTAACTGCTTGATCTAAACATTTAGTTGATTCCTCTAAAAATTGAACATAACCTTCTGGATTTAATGTTTTCTAATAAAAAGCCTTCATGTCAAAATATTATGATTATCTTAAAAGATTATTAAATTCAGCTTCTCCTAAATCACTTATTTTTGATTCAAAGTTATAGATGTTTTCTAAAATACCTTTGATACGCCTAAATTATATGGTTCAATTTACTCTAAAACTTATTCCAATTATATTATTTCTCTTCTGTTTAATCTATATTGGTATTCTAATAATGACAATTCCATAGAGATATTTAATATTAGTTAAATCTTTTATGGATATTGCTTTGGTATATATAATCTTTCTATAAAGTTTTTATCAAACATTTCTTCAAAAAATTCCCAATTCTTATCTTATAATTCACTGCCAATCAAATTTTCAGCAAGATTTATTTTTTATAATACTTTCTAGATAGAAACTGAGTTTTATTTAGGTTAAGACACCTTGTTATCCCAATATTCAACCAATTTGTCAAATTCCTAATTTTTTAGGATTAATTAATATGATCTATTTTAAGTTTTAACATTACTCTTTTTCTTATTTATTAGATTTTGAAAAGGAAAAATAATAGAATGGTTAGACTAGCTTATGGATTTAAGTTAAAGGTCGAAACAAATTTCTTATCATTAATATTATTTCTAAATATTCTAGAAATATGCTTTTATATTTTAATTAAGGCATTTATTTATTTCTGTTACAATCTAATACTGTTAGACCTTTCTAGAAAGTTCATAAATATCAACAATTATAATATTATAGAGAGAGAAATAAACTTATTAAATATTAAATTACACTTTAAATTATCAAAAAACTTATCTATCTATTACATTATTATATCGAATGAATAAAACTATTTTTGAGATTATTTGAGCATCTGTAGATTAATTAAAATTCCTGAACTTTAATATATTTATGATAAGTACTTTAATAATCAGTGTTCGATGATATAAATAGATTATTAAATAAACTTTCAAAATTATATCAACAGATAAGGTATCTGTGATTTAATCATAGTCATTCTAACAACTATTTGAAATCATAAAAAAAAAGAAGACCTAAATAAAAATCAAAACTTTTAAAATTTTAACAGCCTTTAAATCTCAAAAAAACTAGCCTAATAAATACTTCTACTATAATGATTCGAATATTTCATCAAATAATATATTATAGACACAAAATAGGTTATATTTTAATTTTATTTATTATTTTGATTCAATAACAATTCTATTACATTCATAATCGAAATTTATTTTTAATAATGTTGTAAATTTCCATAAAATTATTATTTCTAGCTTAATAAAATAATTTTCTTTCTCTTAGAATTTACTTTCTGTTATTTTTCATAAATTAATGAAATTTAATGTATAATGTATTTTAATTTAACTACATTTGAAGTTTACAAAAAGAAAATACTCTTCCATTTGTCAAATATGCTTGTTTAAATAATTAAAACAGTTGTACATGCTGTTGAAGTGGAAAATATATATAAAATACTTGTTATTTATCCCCTATATGAAATTAAAAATAAATAAAAAGATTTCGAAGTGATAGGATAAATTATTTTTTTTAATTACATGGCCATATCATTATTTCAAAATAAAAATCTCCATCGTATTTCACAAGTTTATAATATATCTCACAAAAATTTTTTATTAATGACTTACTTTATAAGTATTTATAAAATAAAATAACTGATTATTCTTAATCTTCTTATTAAAATTATCATAACAATAATCCTTGTAAATATCAGCAATAAGATATTGTTTTGACTTTTTTTTATTACTTTCATTCATGATTAATTACAATATTAAACAAAAATATTAAAATTCATAATCAGGTTTGGACAGTATATTTTAAATTTCAATCAAATCATATTTTACATTAAATTAGTTAAAATAAACATGTAAGTATTTTTTAAGTGAAAATAAAATTTAAGAAATCTTGTAAATTTGGAAAATAGTTTATAAACAGCAAAATGATTTCTGGAAAAATACTAAAAATACAATTTCTGAAAAGAGTCTAACAATAGTAAATTTTTCAATTAGAAAATAGTATAGTGATGTTCAGAAAAACAATTAAATAAATAAAGGTATAAACTATTGAGTTAATTATCTAATTTTAATAATTCATCAGAAGCAACCTTATAAATTTTGGTTATTACTTTAAAATTTTTATTTGATATTAGTTTTTCATAGTTCTAATGAACAGGGAAAAATATATTTAAATACACTAAGAAGTTTTATTATTAATTATTAAATAATTTAATTAAATCCTTAAACCAAACATATTTGGATATTTATAAAACTTTAAATGTGTAAATGTTATTCTAATTCTATTATTAATATAATATTCTGTTCAAATTAATGTGCTCTATATTACGTAGCATAATTGTATCAAAATAATTTATTTTGAAAATAGGATTTTAAGGAATAAAAAATTAATCAAATCTTATATAATATTTATAGCAAAATGGGTAATAAACATAGCACTGAATATGGTGGAATTTTCGTTTAAACTTCAAAGGCCTATTATTTCCCAGGAGAAATCATTCAAGGTATATTCATTAACAATTCTAAATTAGGAACCATTAGTTTAAATATTACAAAACCTGGTTATCCTGGAAGAAGACTTTACATAAGTCTTACTGGGAAAGAAATATTACATGGTGCCTTTGATATAAATGAAAATAGTGATGATGAAGGCATACTATCAACAAATACAACTTAGAAAATACTAAAGAGTGAAATGGTGCTTTATGAATTCTAATAACCAACTATTCCAATGGGTTAATTCACAACTTCATTTACCTTCTAACTGCCTTCCAATATCCCTGGGACCTATAATAAAATACATTTAAGTGGTGCATTTGAGAGAATCATATATAAAGTAAAAGGGTATGTTGTGGCAACTAAGGGATATAAAACAATGAGCCATATTTAATAAATTTAGATTAGAGAACCTATTTATTATCCTGAATAATAGATAATTGGAGATGGGAAAGTTGGTGACAATGGATATTGGTGTAGATAAAAAGGAGTAATAAGTTTTGTTATTATGAATAGAGTGCCTAAATTACTGCTGTAACAGATAGGAATGTTTATAGGATTGGAGAAGCCATAAGAATATTAATAGAGGTTATCGATGATGAGAGATTTTAAAAACCAGAAAAAATAATTATACAACTGGAAAACATTACATAATATAAATATAAAAATAACATAGAAACAAAGACAAAAATCATTACTGAAGAACAAATCTAAACAACAACAAAGAAGTTAGGATCCTATAAAGTATTAAATTAACAAGAAGTGGTACTGTTTGCACAATTAAAAAATCATAATAATAATGATTAATATAATATGATTTAACCAACAACAAATGGAGAGATAATAAAAACAAATTATCAAATTGTGATAAGAGCTAGTTTTGGAAGTAAAAATTTAATTATATATTTAATTTCAGTAAGCTGTTGCAATCAAAGTGAATGTCTTGAATTGCCTATATAAATTTTATCATCCACTGTGTTACAATAGTAGTCAATTTAACCTCCATTAGGATGGAATCCAATTTAGTTGAATGATGAGAATCTTTAACTCTTAGCTGCTGCAAAGTAAAGTGGAACTAGTTTACAGTCATACTCTACTTATTAAAAAACATTGTAAGGTAGAAACAGCTATCATGAATAATAAGAATCTTTAAGATCAATTAGAGTTGGAAATTCAGTTAGATCAATCTAATCTTTAAATTATTAAATGAACTGAGTGATTACATATTATTATTAATCATTATGATTTCAAAATAGATATTATCTTAAAATAACTAATATAGATATATAATTTATTTATTATACAATAGAATCTTCTATATCTAGTTAAACATTGATTTTAATTATCAAATTTTAGGTTAATATTGTAATAAATTAGTATTCACTGAGTGTAATTTAAATGATGTCAAAGTTTATAACTTACAATATTTCTCTCTTTTATTAATATTAATGATAACCTTACATCAGAAAAGTCTCACAGAATCCAAAATCAAAATTGACAATGCTTCTTTCTAAACAAACTTAAATCTTCGCTCATTTAATCCTTCAAAATTTCTAAACAATCTTGATTAACTTCATGATATCCAAACTCCTTAATATAATGAAAATAATCAACAAATACAACCACTAACAGAAAAGGCAGATAGTAGTTATTGTCGATTTCCTAAACTTCAATCCAACTCATTATAAAACATTTCTAAACCTATTGATGAAATGCCATAATCTAAACATAATTAACTAAAATCTCAACTATCAAATATATTTTTTTAGTCAAATCCAATTACCGAAAATCATATTATCTTGCCTGGGTTAAGAAAACAAAGAAAAGAATCTTAAATGTTTATCTAAATGATCGAACAACAGATCAGTTTTCCAAATCAAGATAACTAAACTTCAAGATCTAAAAGATTTTAAAGAAAGAGAGAACAATAAACATAAAGTTAAACTAATCTAGATAGTCTAAATTACTTATTACCTGATAATTCTTAATTAGATGACTCAAACAATTATAATAAAAAAGTTGACTTTCATAAAAGAGTAAGAGTCATAAATTTAGAAAATGGAAGAATTGCAACTGAAATCATAAAAGAAGAAGATGAATCTAAATCTCCAAAAAAGTCTAAACGAAAATTTGTATCTTAGAAGACCAAGTTTTTTTAGGAAGATGCAAATCCATGAACATCAACATAAAATTGATAATCTTAAATAATATATACAATCTAACAACAATATTTGCAAAGTTGATTCTACAATACCATCTAAATTCTATATACATACTATCTATATTAAATTCTTAATTATAATTAAATCTTTATATTTCTCTATCTAAATTCTCCTTATTTCCAGAAAATAACATATATTTAAGAATTTCTTAATGTATATTTAATAATTTAATATAACAAATACTGATTTTTTTCACAAGTATTATCTTTATTATGATAGTATGAATTTTGTAATAATCACTTTCATTTATTCATTATAAATGGAAATTAATAGTAAAAAATTGAGAGAATTGACATAAAGTCTATTCAAACATATTAAAGATAGTATTTAAAATCATTTATAAACATTCAAATGGTAATCATAATCAATATCATCATTTAATAATTTGATTTTCATATTAAAGCTAAATTTAGTAAATCATAATATTTATACGATTAATTATTATAAATGTTTGAATATTATGCAGTAGGAGAAGAATCAAATAAAATTCATGATATTCATAAATATCTTTTAGCTATTTGCAATAAAAAAATGGTTGATAAGTTAATAAATATCTAAAATAAACAGTAAAAAATTAGCACTTCTATTGAATAAAAAACAAGACCTTCTTTTAATTATCGCCCAAAAGAAAAATGTAAGATGATATTATATACTAGATCCAACCTTAATAGGAGCATAATATAAATATTTTAAAGCACAACCAAAAAGAAAATAAATTTATTTAAGTACTCTTCAAAATGATTAATCTGAATCAACTCCAAGATTAAAAGCAAATTCTATAGTTTAGGAATAAAAAATAGAAAATTAAATGAATTCAGCAAGGGTTATAAGTACTGCATAATATCCAATTGACAGAAATATCTCTATTAAAAAAGCAGAAAAATCATCAAAAAACTACCATTTACCTAAATGTGATAGTAATTGGATATTTAATCTCAAAAACATTAGATAAAGATAAGAATAATTATGAAAATAAATATATATATATATATAAATATACTATAAACATTTCACCCTATCTTTTTTGACATTCCTTTTAAATCTATTTTTATGTTTATTGGTTGTGGTTATGGGTTTTTTTATTTGAAAGTATTTAAATTACATTCTGATTCAGAACCAGTAGTATGAGTCAAAATGCTCGCTTATTTAGGATCTCTAGGAGATTTTAATATTTATTAAGAAGAGAAAGGAACTTATGGTTATCTTGTGTTAGGTGTTTTTTGTTTTTAAGAATTTGAAGGCAATTTTGTATTTGAGTTGATTTTTACTGAAATATATTTAATTTGTTAGTCTGGTGGTTTTTAATATTCTTTATCTTTAGTTATTTATTAATTAAATTAGTTTTATTTAGGATGTTCAATTTTATAATTCAAAATAGTAGAGCTATTAGATTAATATTTATCACCACAATGTTATAATAATTGTTATGAATTGCCTTAAGTTGAAATGGCCTAAAATGAATTTTCATAACAAATACTTTTTAATTGCGCTACTTTTCAATTAATTTTTAATAATTAGTTGTATATTCTTCAGAAACATCTAAATTTTTATATGAAGGACCAATATTCTTTTCTATTTTATTTTTTAGATTTCTAAGTTCAGAATTTATTTAATAAACTAATTCTTATTCCTATTAATCTTCTTCCATTTTAATGCGATTTGTTATAGATAAAGGTGATTCTTAATAATTTGATTACTTTTATGTATAATATGGTTTATGAATTTCTTATCCACTATCACTATCAGAAGGGAAATGTATTTTTTATATTTATGTTTACTGATTTTCATGGATTCTAGAAGGAATTGGACTATATGAATCACTTTTATCTTCAAAATCTGTAAAATCCTCTTCATCTGATGATTATTAGAATAATTTTTTTGTCTAATTTGATTATCTTCCTCTAATAGAAGGTTGAATTGTAGTATTAGCAGTACCAAAACTATCTAAAATTTACATATTATCTTATTATTATATGTTTAACTATTTATATAATTCAATAAGATTGACTTCTTCTATTATTGTGTTTGTTGTATTAGATTTTTATTTAAATCTAAAGTCATTGCTTACTCTTTCAAACTCATGTTGAAAAGTTAAAATTTTATTTTCTTTTTGTAATATAATTCTTGAGTAATTATGATTTAAAGATGAATTGAATGTGAGTTTGCAATTTGAAAAGAAATATCCATTTATAATTAAAGATTAATGAATCATAAAATGCCAATGACTAAAATTGATGGCATTGTTTAAAAATATTTGATTAATGTCTTCACTTAATGAACATTGCTTATCTTAATAAAAGCGAATTATTGAAAATGATTTGTCTGAATTATATGGGCCTAATTATGATTAGCCCATTTAATTTATAATTATAATAATTAGAATATTGAACTTTATAATTTGCATAAGTAAATAAATAATATAACATTAATATATGATCATTTGTATGATTATTTAATAAATTTAACTTAAAAAATGAGTAGATATTAATTAAATAATACAATTATTAAAGAGTTGATTAAAATGTGTAATTCTTCGGTTAGTAAAAAATAGTATGTCACAAACTGAAACATATATATTAAGTAAAGAAATAAATTACAACCTTAAATTGAAGATTTATTATATAAAAAATAAAATGTATCGAGAAAGTGAGTAAGAACAAATCAAAAGTTAATGGGTAAGATAAATACTTATGTCGAATGATTCTAAAATTGTAGCAATAAAATATTAAGAACAATGGCTTCTCTATAATTTAATAGAAAAAAAGTCAAAAATATTAATTTTCTAAAGATGTGGGCCTGGAATGTTTTCTCCTGATTCATTATATTTTATTGCTGTAGGAGTAAACTTTTCAGAATAAAAAGAAACAGTATTATTAATTAAGTTAATACCTCATTTTGAGAATCCCTTATAACTAATGTCTCTAGAAAATTAAGTGAAATGTCTTGATATAAATGAGCAATCAAATAAATTGTTATTAAATCTAATGAATGGTTCTTTTGTAATTTGGGATATTCATACTAAATAATAAGTTCTACAATTAAATTAGAATACACGATTTGATTTTACTTAATTTTGCAATAATCGTATTATAGGAACCCAACCTCATTGTATTACTTATTTTGATTAAGTCAGAATGAAATAAATTAAAAGAATTTTTGTTTCTGGAAGACTATCTGAATATTAGAAATACTCTCATTATTGTGATGTTAAACAAATAACCTCTTGTTTAATTCTTTTTCGATAGAGTAGAGGAATGGAAAAATTTTGTTATAGAATCATAAATAATTAAAGTGGAAAAATGATTAGAATATTTAGAGATTGTTAGAGATTTGAGAATTTAAATATAAATGTATCTCCAGATCATAAAAGATTTGCAAGATTATCAAAAATATAAAATACATAAATTGAGCTTTTAGAAATAGATTCAGGCAAATCATATAATTTTATAAATTGTTTGGATACTAAATAACCAATTTGTTTTAGTTGTGATTGGACAATCATAATTTAATCCACTAAACATGGTTATGCAAAAGTTTATAGAAAGATTGAATGAATGAATGTTTAATTTTATTTTTATATTTTAATAAGATTATTAAAATATTCCTATATATTTTAAGATAACAAAATATATTTGAAAATCTATATCTGAAAAAATATAACATATTCAAATACTGATAAGAAAAGTTATAGAAAATATATATGATTGTTTAATTTAAGATTAGGATAATAAAATAAAAATATATTAATCTAAACTTAATGTTCCAATTTAATATGATTCTCAAATGGGATAGTTTTAATTTTAAAGAATTTTTATATTTTTTGATCATATAATATTTTAATATATTTGCAAGGACATTGATGAATTCATATATAATCTTAACATGCAAACAACTATTATATGATATTATTTAATTGATAAATGAACAATCTATATGATTATTAAAATATGACTTATTATCAGTTGATCATTTTAACAATAAATTTGAATATAAATAAATGAAAGTTTAATTCTAAACTGATTATGACTCTCGTGTAACTCATAACCCATCAAAAAAGAGGGAATTTCAATATAACACTAAATAACCAGAAATTATTACACTTCAAAATTATGAATCAAATTGTAACAGAATTGAATCATTGCCTGGACATATGAGATCAAAATCTTATGAACATGATTGTTTAACAAAAGCATCAAATACTTTTGGACTTAATGTTGATTAACCTTAAGTTTAACCACTTAAAACCAAGCGTTAACATAGTATTTCATAAAAAGAAAATGATCCAGGATTTATTTCTCCAAAATTTAGATTTGAAAGTTGTGATACACTTGTAACTAGAAAATCATAAAAGTAACTTATTCAAATATAGATTTTAGTAGTTTTATTAATGAACTTTAAGAATGTGTTGATCTTTCAAAAGTGACCGAACTATCAATGCAATCTTAAATTTCTCCTTAAAAAGCATATAGTGATTTATATTAAAAAATTGAGGCTAAAGATTTCTTAATTGATGAATTGTAAAAATAATTAACAACTTCAATAAAAAATATGACATTATAAGTAGATCTAATTAGAAATGAAAAAAATCAAGTGATATAATAATAAATTAGACAAATAGAAATTTATGAATAATAATTAATAGAGAGTAGATAAGAAGTATAATAAAAGAATACAGAATTATTAAATCTAAAAAAGAATAATAGAGAATTAAAGAAATTATTGGATACAAAATAAGAAGTATTCATGTTAAATTGTAAATATACCTATATTATTATATAGCAATACCATCTAATTTTTAAACAAAAAAGGATTGTATGTGCCCTTAATTAGAAAGAGAAAATAAAGCTTTACTTGCAAAAGTTGAATAATTTAGACATTAATTATAAGAGTTAAAACAACATCTTGAGTTTAATAACTTATCAATTAATAATTAAATATCTGTTATTGAAAAGTGTGATTTTACATAATTTGAAAAAACATTTAAATAATTAGCAGATGAATTAAATTTAACAATTGATAGCAAAAATATTAATTCTAGTTTTAGTTTATTGAATTAAGAAGTCATTGAAGGTGTAAAGACACTTAAATAATAATATAAAGAAAATGAAAAATTCTTAAGATGTCTCAAAGATTTAGTAATCTAATGTGCTCCATAAGATTATTTTTTTTAAACTGATCCAAGTTTAAAAGAAGTATGGAAATTTATAAAATAAATTCTTTAATCTTATTTAGAAAATAAAAAATTAGCATCTTAAAATGAAGTTATTATTAATAATTATAAAATAGGATATTGTCATTAATTTGTGCAAATATTTTAGATGTAATAAATCTGAATTAAATCATAAGGGGGCTTGTTTAATAGTGGATTAAGAGGTCTATTAAAGAATAATTGAAAAAATAAAACGAATTTTTAAATTAACTGCATTAACAAATATAAGAGAACTTGATCGACGGCTAGATTATTATTTATAATGACTAAATAGGGAATAAATAATTTTGAAGCTTATTGCTTTTATCTTATAATTATATTTACATTTTAATATTCCATCATCATCAATTACTATTAGTTTAAAATATAAAAATCAGAAATTATTAGTAATATGATAATATATATTCAGTTTTAATAGACTTTTGGAAATAATATGATTAAAGAAATTAAAATAACACTTTTAGGTAATTCTGGAGTTGGAAAGAGTAGTATAGTAAATCGTTTTTGTTTTTAAAGCTTTAATGAAAACAATCAATCAAATCTAGGCGCAGATTACTTTTCAAAAGAAATAGAATTACAAAACAATAAATTTAAATTTCAAATATGGGATACTGCAGGATAGGAGAAATTTAGATCTCTGGTTCCTCTTTTTTTAAGAAGTATTTCTTTAGGAATATTTAGATTCTTAAGTTGCAATTATTGTTTATGATATTACATAAAAATCATCATTTACTTCATTAAAAGAATGGGTTTCTAATTTAGAATAAATATGCACAAAAGATTAATGTAATTTTCCATATTATTTTTTAGTATTTGTTCTTGTAGGAAATAAATGTGATTTAATTGAATAAGAGGAAGTAACTTATGATGAAGCTATGTAATATTCATATGTAAAATATTGATTTATTTAGAATCTTAAAGCAATATTCTAATATACAAGTTGTAAAACAAATGATGGAATTGAAGAACTATTTAATAAAATTGCAGTTGAATATTTAAAATTTGAAGAAGAATAAAAAAACAAAGTATAAATGTTAAAATTCTATTTTAGTAAATGCATAAAAATGAGCAATAGAATAGTAAATTAAAATTTTAAAACAAACACTATTTCGCCTGTTGTTGATTATAAATTATATATTGTATTAAATTACTTATCCCCTTAATCAGTGCTATTAAGATTTACTAAATTAATCTAATTCTTTTTATAATTATTATTTTTCTACACATAATTATGAAACTTGATTTGTTAATTCTGTAACAATATTTTACATTAAAGAATAATGATCTTCTAATTCAGTTGCTCTTTTTTTCATTTCTTCTAAATGATAATCTTCCAATTATTGTATAGATTATTTTAAAATGATATTTTCATTTTGAAATTATTAGACTTTAGTATTAGCTAACTTTAAATGCTTATTTGTTGAAACTACTATTTCTTATAATTTTTTATTTTCAGAAAGTAATACACTAAATATTAAACAAAGTATTTACTGTAATTTATTTATGGATTTCTAATTAGATTCATATGTTTCTTTTAATTATTTGTCTCTTTCAATTGAAATTTATTTTAATTAGTGATTTTATGATTTTAATTAGTTAAAGTCTTTTTCTAATTTTTCATTAAACGTTATAACAGCTTATAATTAATCAGTGAGATATTTAAGTTAATCTTATTTTTAATTTCCTACTTGAACAGATCTAACACTGCCATTATCACTTGGTTCATAATATAATGATGATCTAAATTAATACATTTTAAACAATTAATTCTTGATCAATAAAATAATAAAAATTATAAAACTAATTTTAATTAATACATAATTTATTCATATTGAAGTGTTCCTCGTTTTTGTTTCTAGAAATTAATGAATTATTGATTTAATAGATTCATTTATTTCTATCAAAGAGAAACTTAAAATAGGATAAGAGTTTTCGAATTCTTAATCGTCTTAAAGAGAGTCTAATAAGTTGATTAGCTTTTTGATTTGTTGTAATACTCTCTATGAAAATTCTTAATCTTTATATAATATTTTTTCATCATCCAAATTCACTTACTTAGTAATGTTTCGCTATTTAAATTGTTTTTTGATTTCGTGTTGAATAATTATTGATATATTGGAACGTATTATAATTAAGTAATTAATACGTTCTCTTGTTTTATGATTTAAACTATCTGTATTTCCAATAAGTTCTATTAATTAGCTAAGTCTATGGTATTGCTCTAGTATTAATTAATTTTCAGTTTTTTTTTCTATTTCCTCTTTAGGCTTTTCATTGAGACGAATATCACAATTCTCAGTTTTCGGTTTTTTAGTATAGCATGAGCCCATTATTACAAATGTAATTGTAAAACTAAAACAATAATGATTATTTAAAAATTATTATATTCAGAACTCTTGAGAAAAAGATTTATTTCAAACCATACGTAATTAATTTCTTAATAAAATTACAAACCAATCCAATTTATTAAGGATTTAAATTTATTCTATGGTTTTAATCAACTGTTATTTACCTATTGTGTAAAATAGATAAATTTTAGTTTTTAAAGATATCAAACATATGTACAAATTTATGATTATTGTTTTACAAATTAAGGTTTCATTTTATTTTTTCTTGAAATTCAGTGAAGCATCAAAATAAATAAGCACATTATTTCATGTTATAATAATTTTCTGTTAAACTATTCCGAATTAAACTACTCTATAATTTATATATTTATAATTAATTGAAAAATAATTATATTAAAAAAATGTATAATTATAATTAATTACAATAAATAAATTTAACTATGAGTCAATTAATTTTAGTTTAGTTTACACACATAAATTATAGTGTTATCAAAATCTATTAAAACTTTAAAAATACTCATATAATATTGGCAGTATATATTAATTAAATGTATTCAATAATAATTGTAAATGAAATTATTGAATGTAATTTAATTATTATAACTTAGTATAAAACAAATAATATAATTATTAATATAGCAACAATTATTTAGGAATAATTGTTGCTATTATTAGCATTAAAAAGTATTTTATAATTATTAATTATTTCAAGTGAATAAAAAAGTTCTTAAGAAATTACTTAAATATTTATTATGATTATTTATTATTAGATCAAACCTTTTACTTATTCATAAGTTTAATAATTCTTTAAATTATAAATTTATTCATTATTCATCTAGATCTTCTTCCAATAAAACATCATATTTCCATTCTCCAGTCACCTCCATTCCATTTTAAATTGTTCTACCATATCCATGTTTTAGACCATCTTTGAATTAACCTTCATGTTTTCCTCCTGATTCAGTTTATAAAATTCCTTATCCATGCATTTTTCCATTTAGAAAATCCCCTTAATCAATTGAATTAAAATTTATACCTCTATAAAATTTATTATTAGGATATCTCATTTCTCCTCTACCAGTAATTTAACCATCTTTGAAATTACCATCATAAATTACTTTGTTACTGAAATAGTATTTTCCATTTCCATCCATTTTATCATTTTTAAATTAACCATCATAATAGTCCTTCTTATCCTTATATTTTAATTATCCTTTTCCATTTTTAAGCCCATTTTTAAATTATCCTTCATATATATATTCTTTATTTTCCAATTTACCTTTTCCATGAGGTATTCCATATTGGCACTCTCCAATATAATATTCATCTTGTTTTCTGATTTCAAGTTTCTCTATTATTTAATCATCCCTCCAAATTCCTTACTTTAATTTAATTTTTTATAAAATACTTTAAGAATATCTTTTTATAATTCTCTACCCCAACCATTTCTAATATTTTTTTCAAAATAACCTTCAAAAATACAATATTCTTATAAAAATATTCCATAACCATGTCTATAATCCCCTTATATTTATCCTTTATAATAACTTCCATCTTCATATTTTAGAATGGCTTCTTAAGTGTTTTAGTAATTGATTTCTTCTGGACATTAATAGTAACCATATTCTTAAATCATTTTATTTGCCCATTCTGGTAAATGTTATTGAATTTAGAAATCTGGATCATTTACTTTTGTTGGATTATTTTTTTTAAATATTCTTGATTAATTGTTTGATAAAATATTCTATTAGTTTTATTAATCATTTAATTTGATTTAGGATACATTAATTGTACCACTTGGCATTTATACCTATTGATGTTCAACAAATTCTTATGATTTTTCTGATTTTAAATCTTCAATAAGTAATTTTTTGCTTTAATTGTTTGGATAAATTTAGCTAGTTGTATATTCACCCTTTACAAATATTTCTAATTATTACTAATTTTATTTAGCTTTTGTTTTTTTACGCTTTAATTTATTCCTTTTTCTAAGTTAAAGTAAATTAATCAATTATAATATCTGGTTCAATATTTTCAGCTTCCTTTTTGATAATCTCAGATATATTAACTAGGTGATCATTTGAATCATCTTTAGATATCTATCCACCCATTTACTATATAAACTATGTATTTATAAATAAAATAATTTTTCAAAATCAAATAATTTTATAAACATAAAATTTTATAAGAACATGTAAGAATTGACAAGTATCAGATAAAGTACTGATGATGATTTGAATTCAACTTGTTAGTCTATCTAAATGCCAGTATTTAAAAGACATTTTGGAAACAATCTGACATTTTTTTATATTAGGGGTGAACCATTAATAACAATAGGACCCCATTGTAAACAATTTATAAATAATTAGTTTAGGGCCTTTAACATTATGCATGATAGTTTCCTTTGGTGGAGCTAGTTACCTATTAATTTTTGAGATAGCATTAAGAAAAGGGCTTTACGTGTATTATTTCTCAATTTTTGTTGCTGCACTTTAAATGATTAGTTATTTGATTACTGCCCTTAAAAATCCAGGTATTGTGACTAGTTCTAGAGAATATAAGGGTATATTATAATGTATAGTAAGAAAAAGTCATAATTAAATTTTATTAGGTTTGTAACAATTCACGAGAATTAGGTTCATTATATCATTGTGAAGATTGTGATGTATGCGTATAAGGATTTGATCATCATTGTCCTTGGACAGGTAAATGTATAGGGAGAGGAAATATTAATGCCTTTTATGTATTCGTAACTATGATTCCAATATATATTGTATATTTCATCATAGTTTCCTTGTTATGATTAATGAAATAATATAATCAATCAATTTTTTATTTTAGTATTCTATTCTATATCATAAAACCAAAATTTTATAACAAAAAAAGAAGTTAAATCCACCTAAACTTTTTGAATATATTTTAACTTTTAACATAATTCTTTCATATATAATAAATAAAACATTAATTTTATTTGAACAGTAAAAAATAATAAAATGCTGGAATAGCTTGTTGACAATTCTTCATTATATATTACAATATTTAATTTTTGTAAAAATATAAGTCAATTTTATATTTCACCATATATAATTATAATTAGTGATTTGTGTTTTATAGAATTCAATTTATAGCGAATATTATACTATCTTAAACATAAAGAATACTATATAGAATGATATTAATAATATAAATTTGAAAGATAATTCATAATTTTATTGATAATTTAATAATAAATATAAATATAATAATTGATAAATCTTATTAAAAATAATGATATAATTATAATTTAATACTCTTATTATTTTCATTTCATTGTAGGCATGGCTGTGCTTAATGTATAGCTATCTGATGGTTCTTTCCATCTAGAAGTGATGGTTTTCATTTAAGTGAAAAATCTAATACCAGCTTTACCATAGAAATTAGCATCACCATTAAAAGATCTCTTATTTCCAGTGAATGAAAACATAGGCAAAGGAACTGGAATTGGTAAATTGATACCAATTTATCCTGCATTGACTTCATTTTAGAATTTTCTTGCAATTGATCCATTTTATGTAAATATAGCTGTTCCATTACCCCAAGGATTACTAATAATATAAATTTATATTACTTATTAATAATCTCAATAGCTTAATCAAGGGTGTCTGCATATAAAATATTAAGAACTGGTCCAAATATTTCTTCTTTGTAAGATGTCATATTTGTGTTCATCTTTAAAAATAAAAAAAATAGTATACATTATCAATTATAGTAGGACCAACAAAATAACCCTTTGGATATTTTTAATGTTTAAATGATCTTCCATCTAAAATTAATTTAGCTCCTTCTTTTTCAGCTGTACCCACTAAATAATGAATTCTCTCATATAATTCTTTATAAGAAACTGGAGCAATATCAATATTTTCATGTCCAGCCCCAATTTTGAAAGATTTAGCTTTAGCAATTAATTCAGGAATCCATTCTCTACTCTTTCCTACAAAAATAGCTACACTCAATGCCATGCATCTTTAACCAGTTGAGCCAAAAGCTGCAGAGGCCAATGCATTCAAACAATCCTCTTTATCAGCATCAGGCATAATAACACCATGATTCTTAGCCCCCATGTTGATTTAACATCTTTTAAATGTTTTTGAGGCATTTTCATATATATAATCACCAGCTTTATTTCCACCTACAAAAGATACAGCCTTAATATCAGGATGTTCACAGATATGTTTAGTTGTTTCAAAACCTCCTTATACAACATTAACAACTCCTTTAGGAACTCCAGATTCCTCTAGTAATTTAGTCAAATAAGTGACTGCTCCTGGTACTCTCTCACTTGGTTTCATCACATATGTATTTCCTGTTACAATTGCAATAGGGAACATCCATAACTAAAATAATAATCTATAAATATACTGGAATCATTGCAGGGAAATTGAAAGGACAGACTCCTGCACATACTCCCAAAGGCACTCTATAACTATAGGTATCAACACCTTTAGCTAAATTCTCCACTGTTTCTCCTTACATTACATGCGTAATTCCACAAGCAGCTTCTACAACTTCCAACCCTCTAATTACATCACCTTTAGCATCTGCCAAAGTTTTTCCATGTTCTTCTACTATTATATTAGCAATATCATCTATTTTAGATCTGATTTTAGCTTGATACTCAAACATATATCTAATGTTATATAAAAAGATTTACCTTTATCTAGTTGGTAATGGTACTTAAGACCATGTTTTAAATGCTGTTTTTGCTGCATCAACTGCCTCATTGAATTCAGCTTAAGTTGTTTATTTTGTTATTCCAACAACTTCATCAGTTAATGGAGATCTCCTTTCCAATGCTATTCCTCCATTTGAAGTTTTCCAAACTCCATTAATGTAATTCTAAGCAATGTTGCTGAATCTATAAGATTACTTTCGTAAATGAATGTGGAACATTAATAAAATATTTGCGTATTATTTTAAATCTTTTTTATTCAATAATAACTATTAAACAAATTCAAAACTTTGATATTATTATACATCTTTATAATCTATATTTATAATATTATTTTAAACAATTCATTCTCCAAATTATATATCATTGAAATACTTGTTTTTACAAACAATATTTGATATCTTTCAACTTAGATTTAAGATTTTCATCTATTTTTATTAATTATTATTTTCTTTAGTTTATAATTAAAAAAAGTAAAAATATAAAATGATTTCTCATTTGACTACATCATAAAATAGAGAAATTATTAAATGAAGTTACTCATCTTTATTATTTAATACTTCAACATAATATTGATTTAAAGCTTGTAAATCATTTTAATGTTTCTCTGTAATATCTTACATTTAATCTGCAGTGTGATTATTCATAATTATGGTATTTAATTTTTGTATTTATTCATTTTATTTTATTATTTATTTGCATAAATCAATAAAATTTTAATTCTATTATGCCCTAATATCATTTATTTCCTAATCTTTTTCTGATGATTATTGCATATAAAATCTTAAATTCTTAAATAATAGATATAAATATACTTCTATAATTGAAGATTAATCAAAAAGTCTTTCTTATTAAGATTAATTATATTTTGTCATTGAATTTCTTCTTGAATGAGAACTTTATTAGAATAAATTTAATTATCTTTCTAATTATATAATTTTATTTGATTTTTCAGTTAATTATAACTATAATTTTGTTACATTAGTTTCATCTGTATATTTTAATGATTAATTATTATGAGAAATAGCATGATCTATTTCAGATTTATTTTAAGATTAAAAAAAATCAAGACATGTTGATTTTGGTGATTGTCCAAATCTTTAATCAATTTCAACTATATAACTATTATTTGATGAATATACTCCTTGATGTCTTAAACTTTCAAATGGAATTTTCTTTTCATATTAATTCATATTTTAATATTCTTCTAATTCTAATTTAAACTTCTACATTTTCTTTTTAAAAGATGCTGCTTCTTATTCTGCTTCATAAAGATTTCTCTTTAATTTTGTTAATTCTGACTCATACTATATTTGTTTTAATCCTAAAATTCTTTAATGATCTTCTTTTAATCCTTAAATTTAAGCATTTAATTTTTCTATAGTTCTCTATTCTTATGGATCTTTAATTATAATTTATTATTATTCTGGCTCAATAGATCTTGCTGTTGGTGGACAAGATAATAATTATGATTTAAGGGCTTAGTTCTTTTATTAAACTTTAGCTATCTCCTTTTATTGATTTTATATTAGATCATTCATATCTTCAATTATTTGTTTACTGTTTTCTATTTCTTTTATATATTCTTCAAATTTATTAAATACTTCTTCAAAATCACAACAATTAAGTTTTGATAAAAAGAATGCTTCTGATTCATATAATTATTCATTTCTTTCACGTAATTCAGTAATTTTAATTTGTTAATCAGAATATTTATTTTAAAATTCAATTTTCATTAATTCAATTTATTTATTTTGTTATGCAATGATACTATCTTTTGTATTAAGATTTTCTTCTAAAGTAATTATTGTATTTGTTGTCTAATGCTCAAATTATCCACAATCTTGAAATATTCCAATATCTACAATTTGATTTTACAAAAATCCCATTATTTCTTATTATTATTGTGGTAGCAATTATTACATCATTTCAACTAACTATTAAGAATTTACTCTTAACAGAGTATCTATAAAGTACTTTATAAATTTTGCCAAATCTAAATTGCAATCAGAAAGTATTATGTCATCATCAAACTCTATAATTTCTAGTTTATATTTTTTTCTTGCTAATTGTACATTATTAATGATTTAGTTCCATATTACTCTTCTAACATCCATATCTAGACTACAAATGTTGAAGAATATATTTACTAATCTTCTAATAATTAAGCAAACACAATGCCATCTTAAATTTCAGAAAAGTTATGTATTTACCTTTTTGAATAATTCCATTTATTTAGCTATATCAATAGTTATTATTCTTACAAGTGTAATAGCACTTTTCATTAATAAAATAATTTTTTGATAAAAATATTGAAAAAAAAACAATAAATTCTTAATGATTATTCTCCATTTGAATTTCATAACTCTTTAACCTTAACTAATTTTAAATTAATAAAGTTTATATCTATAACTATTATTATTATATTATTAACATTTTCAAAGATGAAGAATCCTAAATTTAAGACAAATCGAATTTCTTTTCAAACATTAATTTGAATACGTAATAATTTATTTTTACTTTAAAAATTAAAGTATTAATATTTCTATATAAAATATAAATCCGTTTATAAACTTCTCTTGATATCAAGCTTAATTTCAAATTAGTTTATAGAATTTATATAATCTGATCATTTATCTTTCATTCTTAAGAAATAATAATTTTTTTAAATATTATGTCCTTGATAATTAAGTATTTTTAATATATATAAATTAATGACTTTAATCAGTACTTTTAAGGTGCTAATTTAATTTTTGATATCTCTATAATTTCTTTATTGGTTTTGATTAATTTCTGTTAATTATGCTGACTTTGAAATGAATTTGTTTATATTTAGAAAGTCTTTTTGTATAGCTAATTTAAACGATTTTCAGAGTATGATAAGTAAGATCCCTCTTGACTTATGAGATTCTACATTTGATCATATTTTTATATGTCTTATTCTTTATCACCAAGATCTTGAAGTTAAGGTTAAGAATATGGCTTATATTATCTTCTAGATAAAGTGGATTGTTACTTTTATAACAATTTTAAGACATTCTCATTATCCTTAAGTAAGTTGAATTTCATACTTTAGTATTTTGATTAAGGTTTATTCTTGTTTTAAGAATAACACTTTATTTTATTTTACTTTGTAATGATTTAATTTCTTTATCATCTACACTCCATAGATACAATTCCTTTTCTTAATATTAGTCATCGACATCAATAGAGCTTAAAAATCGTTGAGTTCTATTTGAAAATCGACAACCTTCCTTTGTATTGTTTCTCTAATTGTTATACTTTCTGTCTGAATGAAAATTAGAGATCTTGGAAGTTCGATTCATTTTTAATTGTACAGCATCTCTACGCTATTCTGATATCTCTTTTATTTTTAGTTATTGTGGATCAATCTTTCTTTATTCTAGATTTTTGTATAAATGTCTTGGTGAAGATTATTTTCCTTTAGGAGCAAACATACTCATGACCATCTACATTTATAATCTTTAATTAGCAGCTTAGTCTTCTTTTTTATTTCGATATCTTTAGATCATCTTTCTAAAAATATGAGCATATTTAGTAATTTTAGACAAATCATTTGCTTATCTGATCTATTGTCTTCTATCAATAATTGAGTCAATTAACTTAAGTCTATCATGATAATTATCAAGAGATTCGACAGCATTTTTTATTTAAGCTCGTGAAAAAACATCAGATATTTGGTTATATGTATTAGCTAATTTTTTATTCATTATATTATTGAGTAGATATATTAAAATCAAGTAGTAATTTCTCAAAATAACTATTCTTAGATTAATAATTGGATTCAAACTATAATCAGTTATTAAGTTCACTAGAAAGTTATTTCTTAATTATAAATTAACTAATACTTTATCAAATAAGAATGATTATCAAATATGTTATATATAAAATAATCTAATTACATGATAAAATTTACAAAATATACTATTATCAATATATTAACATTTTATTTTTGTTATAATTATATTATTATGTTCAATATACTTAAAACTAAATCTATACTAGTTTAATAAAAGTCTGAAGGTTATGATGCATTCAAAAGACCTCCAGATTTTTTGTTTGCTGAACGACATGGAGTATAATAATAGACTTTGAATTTAGCAAGCAAGTAGATTTGCAGTAGCTGATAATGAAAAAGTATAATTANGATCTTGAAGTTAAGGTTAAGAATATGGCTTATATTATCTTCTAGATAAAGTGGATTGTTACTTTTATAACAATTTTAAGACATTCTCATTATCCTTAAGTAAGTTGAATTTCATACTTTAGTATTTTGATTAAGGTTTATTCTTGTTTTAAGAATAACACTTTATTTTATTTTACTTTGTAATGATTTAATTTCTTTATCATCTACACTCCATAGATACAATTCCTTTTCTTAATATTAGTCATCGACATCAATAGAGCTTAAAAATCGTTGAGTTCTATTTGAAAATCGACAACCTTCCTTTGTATTGTTTCTCTAATTGTTATACTTTCTGTCTGAATGAAAATTAGAGATCTTGGAAGTTCGATTCATTTTTAATTGTACAGCATCTCTACGCTATTCTGATATCTCTTTTATTTTTAGTTATTGTGGATCAATCTTTCTTTATTCTAGATTTTTGTATAAATGTCTTGGTGAAGATTATTTTCCTTTAGGAGCAAACATACTCATGACCATCTACATTTATAATCTTTAATTAGCAGCTTAGTCTTCTTTTTTATTTCGATATCTTTAGATCATCTTTCTAAAAATATGAGCATATTTAGTAATTTTAGACAAATCATTTGCTTATCTGATCTATTGTCTTCTATCAATAATTGAGTCAATTAACTTAAGTCTATCATGATAATTATCAAGAGATTCGACAGCATTTTTTATTTAAGCTCGTGAAAAAACATCAGATATTTGGTTATATGTATTAGCTAATTTTTTATTCATTATATTATTGAGTAGATATATTAAAATCAAGTAGTAATTTCTCAAAATAACTATTCTTAGATTAATAATTGGATTCAAACTATAATCAGTTATTAAGTTCACTAGAAAGTTATTTCTTAATTATAAATTAACTAATACTTTATCAAATAAGAATGATTATCAAATATGTTATATATAAAATAATCTAATTACATGATAAAATTTACAAAATATACTATTATCAATATATTAACATTTTATTTTTGTTATAATTATATTATTATGTTCAATATACTTAAAACTAAATCTATACTAGTTTAATAAAAGTCTGAAGGTTATGATGCATTCAAAAGACCTCCAGATTTTTTGTTTGCTGAACGACATGGAGTATAATAATAGACTTTGAATTTAGCAAGCAAGTAGATTTGCAGTAGCTGATAATGAAAAAGTATAATTATGCACATGTTGTGGAATGCCAATACAAAATGATTAGTTACCATTATGCTGTGATAAATAAGATATTAATTTTAATGGAGCTGGTATTCCATTATATTTTGAGTTCATTTAATTTGCTTCAGTTTTACTCGTAACCTTGGGGTATTTAGGTTTTATTTGAAATAGATTGATATCTGGCATATACAACATTATTACAAATGTCTAAGGTAGCTCTTGTGAATAGTATTCCAATACTTGTTCTTTGAATTACTACAATAAATATGCCTTATCTAATAAGGCAGAGTAAATTATATAAATCTATAATAGATAATATGATATTGGTCTTAATGTTTTAGATTTAATTTCTACTATTATTATTATTGGTTTTACAATTTATTATAGAAGATGGATGAATTTAACTGCATTAGAAGTTGATAATGCAGTTATTACTATTTCTGATTTTTCTATATAAGTAAGCAATTTGCCTTTAGATGCAACAGAATAAGAAATTAAAGAATTTTTTAGTAAAATTGAAAAGAAAGGAGTTGAAAAATAATTACATATTTAAAGTATTTGTTTAGGATGGAACATTTAATAATATACTAATATAGTTAATTAAAAGTTAGCAAAAGAAATTTAGATTAGTAATTTAATAGCATTGTATTTATTTACATTAATGTTTTATAGAGAATAAACAGGAAAATTGAAGAACAAATAATAAAAAATTATACTTGAATAAGAAATAATGGCACTTAATAAAGAAATTCAAGGATTTCTTGAGGCATTTGATTAAAAGTTCTTACTAAGTGGAGTTGCATTTATTACTTTTAATACAAGCGTATATATTAAATATATATATAAAATTAGTAAGAAGCTTAAGAATGTAGAAAGTTTCATAATTAAACAAAAATTTAATTATTATTCCATTAATTGTATTATTGTTTTAGAAGAAAACGATAATTAACAAAATTCAAAGGGAAAACTCCATATGTAGTAAGAGCACCTGAACCAGGTGATATTATGTGGGAAAATCTTGGAGAAAAACCATGGAAATAGATTTCTAATTAAACTTGGACAAATTTAGCAACATTATTGATATTAGGAATATGTTTTGGTGCTATATTGGGAATTTCAATTGGTTAAAATTCTTTATCTAAAAGTGAATCAAAAAATACATATAAATCAGTAGCATTTATAATTACAATTTTGGGTTTAGTAGCTTCTTTTGTTATTTCACTTCTTAATTCAATTATGGCATTTACAATAAAGAAATTAGTATTTTATGAGAAACCTTACACTTAAACTGATTTTAATATTAGTTATGCAAATAAATTAGGAATGGTAAATTATATTATTTATTTTAGTCTTAATTTATTAATACAGCTATTATACCATTATTAGTTAATTTAACATTATAGGATGAATAATTATTAATAAGTTTATGGAAGAGTGGAGGACTCAATTCTGATGTGAGTCTTATTTTAATAATGAATGCTATATTTCCTTGGGTGATTAATCTTTTTGATCCATTCTATTTTTGGAAATTAATAAAAAGATAGAGAATTAAAAATTAAGGAAACTAATGTACATTAACTTAAAGAGAAGCTAATATATTATTTGAAGGAACAAAAAGTGATTTATCTTAAAAATATGCTACAATAGTTAAAGCATTAATGTTGACTTTCTTTTATGCTTAATTATTACCTATTGGAATACCTATTGCATTGGCATTTTTATTAATAAATTATTGGGTCGAAAAATATTTATTATTAAGAAGATAATCAAAAAATGCACCTTTAGGTAAATAATTGGCAGAGGAAATGATAGATTTATATATAGAATTAACTTTATTACTTTTTGCAGCAGGGAATTGTATTTGGTAAAAAGTTGTAGTAGGAGAAATTAATGCTATTGTTTGGACATAATTAGCAGTAGCAGGATTTTAATTTCTACTTCCTATTGATTGGATATTTGAATGGTTTTTTAATTTTGAAGAAGCCTAAACTACTGAAACATATGAATAATAGAAAAATTAATTATGGGATGTATGATAATATAATATTATAGGATTATTTAAAACGAAATCCAGTAACTTAATAAAAAAGTATTGAACAATGGATTAAAGAATAAGGAGGTGACTCAAGTAAAAAGGTTTAAGGATTTTTGTAAAAATTAGAAATAAAATATTAATAAGATATTACAGAAGCCTAACATAAACTTATTAAAAAATTTGTACCAAAAGACCTAATTAATGTATATAATTCTATAAATATCTAGTCTCATTATGATATCAGAAAAAATCAAGTTTTACCTAATAATCTAGAAGAATCTTTATTAATTAAATAATAAGGAATTAATGTATAGAAACCAGAAATAAGGTAAGCAGAATCAATATATTTTGCTAAAAGAGAAACAGAATTTGTACCAAATAGACCATAAATTAAATAAGCTGATTCTTTCACTTATGATTGAATAATTCTATATAAAATCCCATATTATCATTTTTAACTTTATGAAAATGAAGGGGACACATATTTTTTTGATTTTTTTGGTTAATTCATCTAATTTGATTATAATACATATTCTTTGTGTATTTATGGTGAAGTCTAATTTGATTTCTATAAAGTCTTATTTAATTGTTATTATGATTCAGGTTGTTACTAATCAAATATTTTATATTTTCTAGTCTAACTAGTACCAATCTTATCAATAGTTTAATCTAATTTTGTTATAGGTTATAAATATTATTATAATAAATCCTCTTCAGGATCATAAGGTACTTCAGCCAAATGCATAGTTTTCACTTATTATACATTATGATGTTGAACAGAATATTCTTATTTCTTATTATCAATTTCAATTTAATTTGAATTTAAGTTAGTTTTAGAGAATTCTTATTTTTTAGAAGCAGAAGGTCTTAAATATTTATCTAATTAAGTTTCTTAGTAGTTAACATTTGATTAAGGAGAATTATACTTTTAACCTTATAATATAGTTTAATAGGGACTTAAATAATTTTATGATTGACCTGAGTTAAGTTTTTAATCTTGGTCAATTAATTATTCAGATATTTTAGGATTAGGAGAATTAAATATATTTTAATCAACTTTGTAACCACCTATTTAAGGTCTTTTTCCTGTAAAGAATTCATAATTTGAGATACCTCCTTGAACTAATGGTTCAATAGGAGGATTCTATTCATTAATAACATTTTCATTTTCTTTTAATTAATTATGATCAATATAGACTTATGGTATTTATGGTACAAAGAGATCATCTTATTTAAATATTTCTGGTATCATTTATATTTTAGTTTCTATTAATTTATATTCAGGTTGTCTATTAATGAGTACTGAAAAAGGAATAAATGGACAATATTTTATAAATTATTGAGAAGAGATGATAACATCATTACATTTAATTCTTTTTTTCAAAAATTAAATATCTTGATTAGTAAATATATATTCTTATTTTTTCATAAAGTTTATTAAGCTTAAATTATATAATATTTATAATTACTTAAAATTAGGTAATTAGTGACTATAATCTTAGACAAGTGTACAAAATTATTTACCAGTTTCTTTATATTTTTCAAACAAAATCATTCTTATAGGTTCAGCTTATCTAAAATATGCAATTTCAATTTTTAATAATCGTTAAAATAATAAAAGTAGATCTGATACAATTTATTGATTAACATTATTATGTATTTAAGTATCTAGATTAGTATCTTATGGACAAATTAATTGATAAAAGTCATCCCAACTTATTTAATAGTTATCACTTGAGTACAATTAAAAAATGTACTCTAATTCTTTATCATTTATGCTCATCATAAAATTACTGAATAAAATATAAAAATTACCTAAATAAATTCTATATATCATCTTTATTTATTCCTTGAGGATTTGATGCTAATTTATTGTAAATAGTCCTTGCTTAAAAATGTGGTGTAATACTCATATTAATCCTTTATTCTTCTAACTGATATGATTATCTTCTCATACTTTCTATTCATAATAACAAGTCATCTTAATTAAAGTAGCTATATCAGAAAGATGTTCTGGTGATAACATTTTATTTTAATTATATTTATATGTTAGTATAATTTATTTTCTATTTATGAAAAGTAATCATTATAATTAATAATTGCAATAATGATTTTTTTGTTTTCTCAATAAATTATTAACCAAAATATCTTCAATACATTAAAATATTATTAATTAATAATTATGAGAATCATAATATATCTATTCAAATTTTTTGAGACTAATTATATATTTTATATGTAATTTAATAATATTTAGAAAATATTATGAATCGTTAATTTTCTTCTTATTATGGATCATAAACAACAAGAAGTCGATTAAGATCTAATAGTCCAACATAATTAAAAAATTTAGAATTTATAATTAAATCAACATAGTAAAAATAAAAGTCTTAATAATCAACACCTTTAAGAAGTTAAAATAAAGTTGAACCTATAAAAACATAAAATCTTGATATGTTTAGTACTGCATCTGAAATTAGAAAATTAAGAGTATAAAGTCTTAGAAGTTAATCATAAATTGATAATAAAATAATTTGGAATTAAGTATAAGATTAATTGGAAAAGAAAACTGGAGTTTGTGCTGAATTTGAAAAGTTAAGAAATAATTCAATTTATAGAAAATTGAGAGAAATGAAATTAAAAGAAAATGAAGAAAAGAAATTATAACATGAAAGAAGATTACAAAAAGAATTATAAGCAAAGAACTAGAATAAAAATAAAATAGTTAATAATACATAATAAAGATAGATTGAAACTAAACGATAATATAAATTTTAATTATCTACTATAGTAAATGCATTAACATTGATATAAATACATTCAAAAACATATTCTATGAAGTTAGCAAAATTAATAGCAAAACATTATTTAAATATATTAGATTATAATAATTATATGGAATAAAGAAGATAAAATGATACTTAATCTAATTAAAATACACCTAAGACTCCAAATTTAGGAAAAGAGTAAATTTTAGAAATTTAAGATTTAGTTAATGGAGGAATACATTAAATAATAATTGAAAATAAAATAAAAAAACATCGTGAATAATTAAAAGCTAGTGAAATATTTTCTGAAGATGTTTTAAGAAGAGTGAGACTTTTATAGAGTTGTTTTCATTTAAAAGTCTTTAGTAAAAAGAGTAAATCTTACAAATATAGAAGATAATAAATTATTGGAGTTCCAAGTACAAGAGTTAAAGCATAAACTAGAAGATTAGGTGATATTAAATTTATGAATTAATATTCTCCTAAATCAAATAAACCTGGATCAAATGTTAATAATGAATTAAAATAAAATAAAAAATCTTTAAGACTTTTTAGAAGTCTTACTAAAGGTTCATTAACTACATAAAAAAGTTTATTTTTTAATAGATAAAATACTAATGAATTCTTATTAAAAGGAGTTTAAATGCTCCATTATCCAATCATCAAATATATATCAATTTTTTATAAAAATATGGTTGTTTGGTCAATTTCATATAAAGATATTACATTAGATAAATCTTGTATTGTATTATTTTTTAAAGGTGAAGGAAAATATAAATATAGATATCGTTTAGATGTACCAATAGGATAAAATCCAATGATAAATTATAATGAAAATTGTTTAACTGTTTGGCCAACTGTTAGAGATTATTTAATTAGTTATCTACATATGAAAGGATAATTGGCTTTACTTGATTAAAAATAATTACCTACTGCTTAAGTTTATAAATTAAATTTTATAAAAGGTTTAACAGATAGATCAAGAATGAAAATTACTAGTTTAGATATTCATGGTATTACTGAAACAAAGAAAATACTTGATTATTTATAAAAATCTTAAATAGTAAAAATAAGAAAAGTATTTGGTACTGTTTATGAATTACTACCTTAATTTATTGAAGTGAATAAATATGGATAAAAGAAATAATATATAGTAAACTTACCTTTAGTTCATAATATTGTATTATAACTTAGAATGTTTGAAGAATAATTGTTATTGTAAAAAAGAAGTTTAGGAGAAGTTGAGGAAAATTTAATAGAGAGATATTCATCATTTTTAGATGGGAATACAGATTATATAAATTAAATTTTAATGTTTAGATTTATTCACAATAATCCTGATTTTTTTAAAGATTAAATGTTAAAAGATATACATTTACTTTAGGAGAAATCTATATATATATAATCTGCTACATTAAAATTAAATGATATACTTTAAGTAGAAAGTAATACAGATCATATTTCTTATGGTAGTTATTGTTTATTAAGTATATTTTTAACAATAAATTGCAAAATGAATTTAAAATTATTATTATTAGATGTATCTGATAAATCAATGTATACTAATCTATCTGATACTATTAATTTATTTGAATATGTATGCAAGAAAAGAAATTAATTATAATTAAATTTTAATTAAGAATATTTTCAATTTTAAATTAAAATAACATTTCATGAAAGAGATGAAGCAGGTTATAATAGAGATGTATATTCAAAAAATTTATTTGCAGATAAAAAAGATAGATAAGTCAAATAATTAGTATTGAATGTAAATGAATGGTTAAAATTATGTAAAGCAATTAAAAATAGTGTTTTAGTAGATGATGCTGAATAATTTTTTGATTTTAATAAATTAGTTAAATGTATTCTATCAGAATAACCATTTTATTCAAGAATTGCTGAAGAAACTTTAAAATCTGTATTCTGTATTAGCTTAAAGAATGAATAAGTTATTTTAAAAGCATCATACAAACATATATTATCAGTTTCATATAATTTTATTGAATAATTAGATCATTATAATTTTTCTAAAAATCTTGGATATGTTCATAAATATAGTGTATATCCAACAGAATATCATGATATTAAATAGAATATTTAAGAATAAAAAAAATAAACACTTACTTCAAAAGATGCTAAATAATTTAATAAATAATTTAAATAAATTAATACTGCTGATATCAAATTAACAAATACTAATACTAAAATTTCACTTGTTGTTGATTATTAATATGAATATCATATATCATAAAGTATACCTATAGATTGTAATTAATTATAATTAATAAGTTACTGTTAATTTAAAAGAAATTATTTTATATATTAAATAGTCAATAATAGAGATAGTATGAAAATTATAATACAAAAATTATTCAAATCTCCTATTATTATTAAAATTGAAGATTCAGATATAATATTTTAAATTTTAAATTGTTAACATTTATCTAAATATTTACTTTCATAAGAATTAATTGGATGTATGCATTAAATTTAAAAGAAAAATAGTTTTTTAACAAATAATTTATAATTTTTTATTCAAAAACATAAATATCCATTACCTAGTTATAAATAAATCAAATTTATGTTAATTAATGATTCTAATAAATTATTGAATTATTTAGATAGATTAAGTTTTATGTTTTTATTTAAATAAACATTTAGTGGTTCTTAGATATTAGTACATGCTAAAATATATTTTATATGTAAAGATTGTCATACTAGAAATGATGAAAAAATCTATTATTTTCATTCTGAAGATTTATTTCTTGGATTAGAAATTCAAGAATTTAAATCTAAATTAAAAAAATATATTATTATATTAAATAAATTTGACTTAGAAAAGTTGTTTGATATAAAAGGTTATTTAGATATATCAATAGTTCATTATTGGTGTAAAACAATTATTAATAATTTATCATTTGATAAGTAAAATATTTATAGATTACCTTACTTATAAAATCTAAATCATTATATAATACCTAAACTTGATGATGAAGAAGAAAATCATAGACTTAAAGCATAGAGAAGTATGACTAATGATTATAAACATGATGAATAAAATGCTGTTTGTAAATAGTTTCTTTAACCTTAAATAAAATTATTTAGAGTAATAGGTCATTATATTATGAAATATTATTTATTGAAGAATACAAAAAAAGTAAAATTAACAAGTCGATTACCTTAATAATTTCATAATGAATTTGATTCTATTAGTATTGAATATATAATCATTACTATTTAAGCTCATAATATTTTTGATATGTTTAGAATAATGTATTATTTTCCTAAAAGTAGAAGACGATTAATGACTCATATATCTATATTATAATTTTAAGAAATGGATTTTAGAGATAATTTAATATTTGATTTACTTGATTTTAATGAATATAAAACTTATTAAGATATTGAAATATATGTTAAATCTTAAAAAAGTGGTATTCATTTTAAACATTCAATTTAATTGGATAAGTAAGTTTTAACAAGAATTAAATTTATGAAATAATCAGTTGATATTTAAAATCCATTTTAATTTGCATTTAAAAAAAGTTAAAATAATTTTTTAAAAGTTAGTGATGATTTAATTACTAAAAATAGATATTTATTATCATAAATAAAATAAAATTAATAACTTTCAGATAAAGTTATTAAATTTATGTAATTTACTAGAAAATTGAATAAAGATTTATAATTTGAATTATAAAATAAATTAATAGAAATTAAGATATGGGAACTTTTGCTTAATTAAGTATTTGAATTAAAATTCAATAATTCTAAATCTATTAATAATTATATTCATCTAATTGATAGACTAATTTAGACTTTTGATTAAAAGAAAAGAAATTAAGTCAAAATTATTGGTAAAGAATATTTACTCAAGAAATAATCAAGTGGTGCTTTAAAAAATAATTATACTGTTTAATCAAATGTAACTTAATTATATACTAGATTAATATTAACTAATAATATTAAAGTAACTGAAAAATTGAATTTTCCTGATACTGATATTAATTTAAACATTGGTTTTTTATAATATCCCTTATTAGAATTTATTTGTAGTCAGGAAATTAAATTAGAAAGATTAGGAAATGCATATTTGGAATGTTTTATTGAATAAATTAAGAAGACATAATAAAATTAATAAGTATTTTATCCTTAATAATTAATATCATATTCATAATCTTCTGATTTTAATATTTATTTGAGATATTATTGTTTATAAAATTTAAAATATAAAGACATTAGATTAAATATGAGAGAATTATTGAATTTATTTATAGCTGATGGATTTTTCAAAAGTAAAACTAATTATATGAATAGTAGATTAAGTTAATCAGATATATAGAATATGTGTTATTATTTAGTATAAAAAATTAGAGATCAAAATTATCTAAATTTATCTTCTCTTGTTTTGTTAAAAAAAGAGAAGAAATTTTCATTAGCATCATAAATTTTATTAGAAACTTAAGATTCATTAATACCTAATTAAAATAATTCAACCTTACTTTTTGATGAAGGTTATCTTTATACATAATCCATAAAAGGAGATAAATGTTTTTAGATTCTTCAATTATAAATTTTCCCATCCACTAAAAAAATTATTGTTAATTTGAGTGATAGTAAAGCCGTATTATTTTAATAAAAGATATATACCTTTAAAGAAGCAGATGAATTAGCAATTAATTTTCTTATTCTTTTCAAATCCAAAAATGTATAATAGGCCTTAAAACGTCTAGCATAAGCTCTAGAATACAATATAATTCAATTGCAGAAAATATGATTATATTATTACTCTTTATTTATTAATCATTTCTATATTTTTTAGATATTATATTAATTTTGATAATTATTAATAATATCATTTTTTAATGAATTACGTTGATGAATAAATTATTATAATAAATAAATTTTGATTTAAAATATATGATTTAAATAAAAATATAATTTATTTACCTAATAAATTTATGGGAAATCAGCAAGTTTTCATAAACTATGATTCTGACCTTGTTTTTGTACAAGACTTAAATGATTAATTATTGGATAAAGGAACTTGGAAGCATCCTTCTTTGGGATCTATTAAATTATGGTAAATTAAAAAAAACCCATAACAATTGTTATTTTCTATAGTAATGTTTGTTTATTATCAAAGATTATCTAAACATCAAATTTGGATTCATAATTATTATAAATCCATTAATCAAGAAGTATAATGAAACATTCAAATTTATTAAAATATTATGCTTGTTCAAAGTCAATAGAATTAGGAGGTGTAGAGAAATAATAATATTTTTTTGAATATCATTCAAAAACCTTAAAATAAATCACAATGGAGGCTCCATTAAAAGAAGAACAAATTTGGACTGTATTTAATTTTATAATATTAAGTTTGTTGAATAAATAATAGATGTAATGGAATATATATAGAAATTGAATAAATATCATGGAAACTTAACATCAGAAGCAATATTTATCGATGAGAATAATAAAGCTAAACTAATTGATAATTTAGGCTAAAACCGTNTATGTGTTATTATTTAGTATAAAAAATTAGAGATCAAAATTATCTAAATTTATCTTCTCTTGTTTTGTTAAAAAAAGAGAAGAAATTTTCATTAGCATCATAAATTTTATTAGAAACTTAAGATTCATTAATACCTAATTAAAATAATTCAACCTTACTTTTTGATGAAGGTTATCTTTATACATAATCCATAAAAGGAGATAAATGTTTTTAGATTCTTCAATTATAAATTTTCCCATCCACTAAAAAAATTATTGTTAATTTGAGTGATAGTAAAGCCGTATTATTTTAATAAAAGATATATACCTTTAAAGAAGCAGATGAATTAGCAATTAATTTTCTTATTCTTTTCAAATCCAAAAATGTATAATAGGCCTTAAAACGTCTAGCATAAGCTCTAGAATACAATATAATTCAATTGCAGAAAATATGATTATATTATTACTCTTTATTTATTAATCATTTCTATATTTTTTAGATATTATATTAATTTTGATAATTATTAATAATATCATTTTTTAATGAATTACGTTGATGAATAAATTATTATAATAAATAAATTTTGATTTAAAATATATGATTTAAATAAAAATATAATTTATTTACCTAATAAATTTATGGGAAATCAGCAAGTTTTCATAAACTATGATTCTGACCTTGTTTTTGTACAAGACTTAAATGATTAATTATTGGATAAAGGAACTTGGAAGCATCCTTCTTTGGGATCTATTAAATTATGGTAAATTAAAAAAAACCCATAACAATTGTTATTTTCTATAGTAATGTTTGTTTATTATCAAAGATTATCTAAACATCAAATTTGGATTCATAATTATTATAAATCCATTAATCAAGAAGTATAATGAAACATTCAAATTTATTAAAATATTATGCTTGTTCAAAGTCAATAGAATTAGGAGGTGTAGAGAAATAATAATATTTTTTTGAATATCATTCAAAAACCTTAAAATAAATCACAATGGAGGCTCCATTAAAAGAAGAACAAATTTGGACTGTATTTAATTTTATAATATTAAGTTTGTTGAATAAATAATAGATGTAATGGAATATATATAGAAATTGAATAAATATCATGGAAACTTAACATCAGAAGCAATATTTATCGATGAGAATAATAAAGCTAAACTAATTGATAATTTAGGCTAAAACCGTTACAAAAAAGATTGGATTTCTGAAGATATATTTTAATTAGGATTAATATGTCTAGAAATGATGACTCAAAGGAGTATTATTTATGAATTATTAACTATTAGCAAGTCAGTTGAATTTTAGTAATGCTTTAAAACAATTAATTGGTAAATACAGTTTATAATTACTATAACTAACACGTAAATTATTATAAAATGATACTGAAATGAGATTGGATTTCATTGAATTAAAGAATATTGTAAAAAATAGATTTTCAATCCCAATTACTATTAAGTAAGCAAAAATTATTAAGACTGAATAAGGGTATTAATCTTGTTCTACTGTACAAATTTTTGATGAAGAAGAAATAGCAAAAATTAAACAAATACAAACTTAAAATTAAAAATAGATCATAAATACCAAAAATAATATAAATAATAATGAAAATCAATAAATTAAGGGAAATTATTTATAACAATTAAAATAATTAAATGTTTATCCATAAAAATTATAAACTGAATCAGATTTCAGGAAAAAGAATTCAATTCAATAGGTTTCCATAAATATTTATAAACCTTAACCACAATCTAATAATAACATATAATTACATAGAAATCATCAAATTATTATTAAACACTAATAAAGATATTCATTATAATAATAAAACTCATAAGTTACCAGTAGAAATCCTTCACCAAAAGATAAGATTTTATTTTCCTAAGTAAAATAATCATAATAACCAGAAAACAATAATCTTCGAATGAAATAAGCACTAGAATTATTGGATAAAATATACAAGAATTAAAATAATGAGTAATCAAAACAATCACAAAAATTTGATATGCTTTCCTCTATTGATTCTAGTCATAGCACATAATTTTATTTTTCACAAAATAAAAGATAATAGTCATAATAGAATAATAAAAATTCTGTAATCTAAACACCTAGTCATAGATTCTAACATGTAAATAATATTTTTATTTAATAATTAGATGCAAACATGTTCGTTCCAAAGTATTCATAAAAAGAATGAAATTTGATTTATAACATTTTAAAATAAATGCAAGCATTATCTAAATAACTTCTACATCTTTTATCTGGATTTCAAAGGCCATAACATAAAAATGTAATTTCGATTATTGATTTGGTTATTTAAGAGTTACAACAATCAACAACAGAGTATCTAACAATATATTATCAAATTGGAATTTTGTATTAGAGATAGATAATACAAAGTTGGTAATTTAATGATTAAATATGAAAAATCAAGAAATGTTTAATGATAAATTGTATGATTTCTATTAATCTTAATAATAATTGCAAGATTACTTTTTTTTCCAAAATAGTAGTATCCTTAACAATATTAAATACTTTAAGTAATACTATTTCCTAAGAAATGTGTATTAATTTGATCACCTTTTGAATATTTGAAAAGCAGGAGAAAATCATTTTTGTGATATTAACTAATTTTATTCACTCTAATTATTTAAGTAAATTTTATATTTTAATGAGAAAAATTTATCTAAAAATATTCATAAATAGAACAAAGAGAAGGAAAATGATTATATATATATCTTAAAAGAACACTAATTAAGATTTGTATTCATTAAGTCTAATTTAAAAATTCTCTCTAATTCCTCTTATCTATCATAAGGATCTAGTATACATTCGATTTATTCAAATAAATAATTAGATATGGTTCTACCTTAAACTTTCTTGGCAGGATTAGTTACAAAGTTCCTAGCTTAGGTTCCAACATTTCCAGTAGAAGTTCTTGTATTACCCAAAATGTATTTAACTTTTTTATCAAACTTATAGAGATATTATAAAAAATACTTGAATTTTTAGTAATATAATTAAATAATCAATATGAATATGGACTACAATAATCATTCATTTAAATAATTGACTTATTTTTTTCTCTCTTTTTCTAATTTTTTATTCTTATTATTATTCTTAGATAAAACTTAATTCTGAAATCATTTTGATTGTATATATTTTATCATTAAATTCTTTCATGTGTTCAAATTCAGAATGCTTACTTTGATTATTAGTAAATAAATTTACATTGATTTAATTTGATCATTTGGATTGAAACAATTTTGGTTTTTAATTACTAATTCTCTTTCTTTATAATAAATTTGTTTTGCTTTGAATTAATCTTTATATGGATCATTTAATGTTGTATAACCTGGTTCTTAAAATAAAGCAGGTTCATGTTTTTTTTTAATTTCTTTATTTACTAATATGCCTTTTTCTTTGCCTTTACCTAAATTGAAATAAATTAATTCCTTACTTTTGATTGCATCATTATATTAATCTCCTAATAACAATGGAGGAGGTTGATTAAATAATTCATGACACTCTCTTTTCATTATGATTTCAAAGTTACCTTTGAGAAATGCTTTCTAAATCTCGAATATAATTATCGTTAGATAGTATTCTATATTAAGTTGACATATAATATATTTTTATTATTATTATAAACTAGTAATTGAAATTTAGAGATTCTATTTAATTTTATTTAATTAATGTAATATTAAAAAAAATGATTATAATATTTATTAGAATTGGGATATTGTTATAATGTACCAAATATATATGAAATCATGCCTTCTTCTTTAATTTTGCAGCTTATTTGGTGGCAATATCGATCTTCTTTAAAGCATTAGCTCTTCTTTATTTAGCATTTAATCTCTTTGCTCTGAATTTAGTATGGTCTCTCTTTGGATTTTATTTAACACCTCTCTTTACTCTGTCACTGCTCTTTCTAATTTCATCATGAATCTTTTTGAATAATTCTTAAACTGATTTGACACCAGCCTATTAAAATTAAATAAATTTATACAGTCTTCAAAGTTTATTCCCAATTATGGAATTAAACATCAAATTTAGATCTTCCATCTTTATTTGTCTTCTTTTCCTTTTATAAAAGAGCCATATATTTATCAACATGAACACCAAAGATTCTATCTTTGTGAGCATTGGCATCATATTTCTCTTTCTTATCATTATCAACAGAGAATCCTGGGAATCTTCTGTTATTATGTGGGATGTGAATACCACCATCAGCTGCTCCCTTTAATGCAGCAAATACTCTATTTCCAAGAGTAGATCTGACCAATCCAATATCAAGTACGGCAAAGAATGGTCTTCTTTCTGGGTTTTCCTTATCAGCAACATCATATAAATTTCCATCGATGGTTTTGTTGCCTTCATAGAATTTATCCATCTTCAATGTCTTAAGTGTTCTTCTGGCTAATAATAATCCTGTGGCATAGGCAGCAGCATAATTGGTCAAACCACTTGTTAAACCAAATCTCTTTAATTCAGTAGATTCAGCAGCAGCCACAACCTTGTCTCCCTTTAAAGTGGCATAGATCACTTAGCAAATGATCTTTGTGTTTGTGTGTCTAACTACAAATCTGTATTTTGGTGAATTATATTTATCCTTGTCTTATACGATCATTCTGCTTCTTGCATAATAATCAGTCTTTCCTTCTCTTCTTCTTCTGAATTGGGTTTAGAATCTTTTGAAGTATGGTTTTCCTTTAACAAGCTTAACAAATGCCATTAATTATTAAAAAGATTTGAATTTTCACAAATTATACACAAATACTTATATATATATATTATCATATATTTTCTTTGAGCTATTATTATTCATAATTAAATGCTATATTCTTAATTTTACAAGATCACAATATAAATGTTTAATTATTAAATAACTACAATATTATCACCATAAAGAATTCAAAATAAATAAATCTCTCTTTAAATATTTCCTAACCTCATAAAGTTTTAAGGTTTCTAATTATTTAGACAAGAAATTTCTATTTATAAATAATTTATGACTTGTTTTAATGTAAAAATTGATGACTCTTTTACACTTTATTGTTATTTGAACTGGTTTGAAAAAGCAAGACTTCATTAAGATTAATTAATTAATAAAAATTCTAAATCTAAATGATCAATCAATACTTTAAACAAACTAAATAACCTGAAATCTCATTAAAACCTCTTAGAAATGTTAGACCTTCTGGATTTCTTAATTCTTTTGATCTTCTACCTTAAAACTATTATACTCCTCTTAAAATTTCAGGAAATAAATTTACTAAATAAAATTACAACCTTTAACAAAAGCCTGCTTCTTTAGATCCTATCTATGAATAGGGCTTACCTAAAATTGAAGAGAAACATAACCCATTTTAAAACAATCATAATAGAACCTCATAACAATCTTCAGTGTATACCTAAGTATTAGTGATGAATTCTGATTAAAATAGAAGAATTAAAACTGAAATAGATGAATAAAATGAAAAGATTAATAAGTTACTCAAATATAGAGATAAAAGAGTTTAAATAGTCCCAGTTTTAGATCTCATTAATTAAGGGAATAAAATGGAACATATAACTTTAGAGTAAAATGAACAGATGCCCAAAAGAAAAATTAAGAGATAATTAACTAATGGAAGGCTTTTAAAATTGGATCCATGATAATATTTTTATATCAGTTTGTGATTTTATATTAATTAGAAAATATCTAATAATACTTTAATTTTCATAATATTCATAAACATTTAAAATTAAACCTCAATTTATTTTAGATGACTATCAATATCTTTTTATTAAAAACATTGATATTTATTTTCAATTTATTCTTAGAATAAGAACTAAGTAACTAATTATAGTAATATTATATAATTTTTGATACTTATTTTATAAATGAGTTAAATTATGATCATGAAATTTTACTTTATTTAATTGATGAATTTATCAAAATTAATTTTTGATAAAATCATCCTTTTTTATAAGGAAAATGCTATTTCTTGTTATCAGGAAATTTCTACTGTAGTAAAATAATAATTTCTATCTATTTTAGTATTCCTCTTATATATCACAAATAAATATCTTAAATCTCATTCTTAATTTGATATTTCATTATAAAATAAAATATCTATTTCATTATCTTATAATCAACAAATACTAAAATTAATTTAAAACGGGTTTAATATATAAATCTGTTTAATTAATCATTTACTAAATTTACAATCAATATCCAATAAATCTAATTTATTGAATATTGGTTCCAAATTGTCTTTATGATCTGATTTATTTTTTGTTTTCTCATTTTTCTTATTATTAATTCAAATTAATTTTTTTTCAGTTAATAAGTGTTCATGATTAGAGTGGATAACGATGTGACTCCAAATTTTTAACCTTAAAAAAGCATTTTGAAATAGATGGAGGAGACTATGATGGTATTATAAAGGCCAAAACCTCTTCATGCTCCTATCATTTAACAAGAAGAATTTTCATAATAATCAATGTTACTTAAAGAAATTGATTTTTTTTGTCAAAAACTCACTACTGTAAAAAAAACAAAACCTAAAGTTGAAGATGTGTCAACAAAATAATTTACATGTTCAACACCAGAAATTTAATAGTTAAAAATGTTAGTTGAACCAGATGAAATGGATGAACAATAACATTAAGTTAAGTTTGCAGATTATGAATAATAAGAATTAGAAAAGGTACGTACAATTCCAAATGAAACAACATTTAAAAAACGAACAGGTATTGTAAAGCAAAAAATATAACCAAAATTAACAATAAAAAAATTAGAATTTGAATTAGAAAATCCACTTTCTTGGATTCCAGTCAAAATTGAAAAAAAATTAGAGTAAGAATTAAAATTGAATCTAAATCTATGTATTTATTGGCCAGAAGAAGAATTAGCTAATTTACAAACAGAAAATATAAATATTTTATCCTTAATTGAAAGTATGAAGAATATCAATTATTTCAATCATTCAATCAAATAAAAAAATAATAATAATTTCCAAGATTTGATCATTCTCAATATCTAATTCTTATAGAAATTAAAAATATACAGTATAATATTATGTTTAAATTACATATATCCTATAAGAGAACTCTGCATAAGAGCTAATGATATAAAAAAAGAATTATTAAGTGATTCACTTTATGAAAGAAAGAAAAGTATGTTACTATTGGAATAAAAACGAATTCTTAAAAAAATCTTTTTAAGATATTTGCTCTTGAGAGTTAAATATAAAGGTGCAATTGATAAAATGCTTAATGATGTAATTTAGATAAGACAAAAAATTAAATAAAAACAATTCTTTTAAAAACTATATTAATACTCTTAAAGGAACAAATAAAAAAATGAATTCTAAGAGTTAGTTCATGATCATATGAGAGTAAGATCTTTGAATACTATATTTTAAAATTGGAGAATGTTTCATTAATGTTTAGTTAAATAAAGATAAATGACAGAATGTATTAAAAAAATAATTATAAAATAATCATTATAATAATGGAAATAAATTACTAAAAGTATAATTTAATAGGAACAAATACAAAAATAAATATAAATTGAATAAAGATAAAAAGAATAGGCTATAGAATATATAAATGAAGAGAGTGATGAGGATGATAATAAAGTACTTTCTTAATTTTTAACTGATGAAAAACCAAGAAATATGTATGAAGGACCTAATTGTTTAAATGACTTATATACATTTTATGAAAGAGAAGTTTAAGCAAAAAAAATCAAAGTAATAATATTTGAACTCAAAGAGGATTTAAAATTATGTCCCAATTTAATGTAAAAAGTTTTTATAAAATGGAAAATAGCATTTTTGTAAAGACATAGACATAAAGAATTTATTGAAATAATGAAATTAAAAAAAATATAGAAAATATTTTAGTTTTGGAAAAATGATAAAGAATATCATTCATTTTATAAAAGTTTATTGAAAAGGAAAGGTTTAGAAGGATTCAGATATAATTAATTAACTAATAAATAATAGAAATTATAAGATTAATTAAAGATAATTACTTTAAAATAATAAAGGTAATAAATAGATGAAATGGCAAAAGAAGTTTACAATAATAATATTAAAAAAAAAGCATTTTTAGCATGGAAATATATACAAAAAAATGATAATTTATAAGCATTATGGTAATCACTTTCAGATTAAAAATTAAAGCAAGATTTTTAAATAGTTTAACTCAAATATGATATAATTTAAAAGAAAAGAAAAATTAAGTATTTTAAAAAATGGGTTGTAAATTTTATTAAAAGTAGAAGATCTATAAAAAATCTATAATAATGTGAGGTGACTGCAAAAGAGAAAGCAATTGAAAGTTTAATAAGAATTGCATTTGATACATCTATGAAAACTTAGTTTAAATGGTTAGAATACTATAAAGATAATTGATTTATTATTTTATTTTTTAACAAAATTTTGTAGATAAAAAATAACTTTAAATATTATGATTTATATATAACAAATAACATTTGAATTTTCATTAATTTAGTTGATACTATTCTAAACTTGCTAATATTTGTAAACGTTCTTTATCATTAAGTTCATCTGCAATTCTTTTTTTAAATCTCATAATAGATTTTTCAACTGAATATTCCATCATTTTTTCTTTCAATAGATTTTTTGATGAATGTCCATCCTTCTTTTAAGTTGTTATTTAAATCTCTTCATTAATTGATTACTATATATATATATAAATAAAATATATTTACATTTCTTGAAAATGATACTTCTTCAATATCTTTAATAATTTTTTATTCTTCATCATTATCCTTTTAATTAAGTTCAATAACTCTCATAGCTATTTCTTAAGTTTATTTTCTCTTCTCTGGATTGTAAAGATCTCTTTCATCTCTAGTACTTAAATCTTATGCTTAAAATTCTTTAGATATAACTTTTCTTCTCAATTCTAAATTTTTGTCATCTTTCATATGTAAATAAATGAGTTTGCATCTATCAACATATAAAGGTTCTAATTTATTTTTATATTAGGTATTAAATTTTATATGAATATAAACTTCTATATCTAATGCCAAATTCTTTATATATTGAAATAAAGCTGTTTCAGAATTATTGATAATCTCTTTTTCTAATTATGTAATAGATTTTGGATCTCTTTAATACATATCTTTTAATTCTTCAATACCATAAAAAATAACTGAAAAGAATTTTTCTCTAACTTCTTATCTTTTCTTTTCAAAACTTGTAGCATTTGATTCCATTTATCTATATCTCTCAACCCAACTTTTCATTTTTTCAATTGCTTAAGTTGATATATTTTTAAATGGTTGAGATTATTGTTTTTATTATTCAGGAGGATTGGGTTATGCAGTTGTAATTTCATGTGGTTTATTTTTATCTCTAGAATTTCCATTATTATTTGAATCTTATTTTACAATTTATACTTTAGATTGTATTGGGCCATCTTTAGTTTTTATCTTTTTAACAATTTTCTCTAAATCAATTCTTCTTTCATTTCTATCTAATTATTCTTCTTCTTCTTCCTCTTCAATTTAAATTGCTCTTTATTAATCTTGGTTTTTTTATTAATTTTATTAAATAACAACTGTAAATGACCTTGTCTACAATTAATCTTTAATACGATCTGTTATTTAAAGACTAGATAGAACTTCTCTACATGAATCACAATTAACATTTCCTTAATCAAATTGTTTCATTAAACATTCAGCATGATATGGCTTTTCACATGAAGGACAAAGCACAAGAATCTAATCTGGATTTACATATTGACCACAAAAACACTATTTCAATAGAGGCATCAAATCTTTGGATATAAATTATTGTCTCATCACATATCCTTTCTTTTCTGTCATTTGAACATACTCAGGAAGCTTACTTAATTGTACTTTCTCAATAATATCAGTCATTTTCCCTTTCTTTAATTAATCTGTCTTAAAAACTTCATACAATCCATGATGTGGTTGCTTACCTAATAAAATTAATCAAAAAGAAAAATACAATAATAAGTATTATTGGAAAATGGGTGTTGTATAATATTTATATACATAAAATATACAATAAATAAACCAACCTGTTGGTAATTCTTCACTTAATATATATTCGAAATATTCGAACCAATCCTCTTCACGACTGAAATTCTCTATCTTCCCTATACCAAAGGTAGTACCCTTTCTGAATTTAACAAAATCAGAAAAATTATAGTGTTCACTCATTAAATTATTATTATTAATGACTTCATAATTAGAATGTGTTTGATTTGAAAACAAATAATTGTGTGATAATTTATAAATCCTCATAATTAATATAATCATTTTCCAACTTATTTTATGGCTTCCTAATACCTAAGATTGTTAACTCTCTCCTTTATATCTACTATAGAATACTAACTCAAGAATATCTCTGGCTTTGATTATCTTGAGTACTTAAGTAATAGTTAAATTTGATAATGTATAAGAAAGACCTTTTTGAAATAGACTTAAATATGAATTAAAAATACTAATATCTTTAGTTCTTTAATAATATTAATCACAATAAGCTTCCTTTATTTCACTTGTATATCTTAGATTTGCAGGTAAATTAGATCTAGATTCATTTATCACTCAATTGTATTATCCTTAATGATGCTATCTTGTACTTAATAAAGGAATAATTTTTCCATAGAGTATTCCAAAAAGATTTTCAGACTATATACTTGGTACAAAACCAGCATAATTTACAAATAGTTATTAAATGTAAAACTTGGAATATTATTTCTATTGCCTTAAATTTATAATAAATCTGCATTAAAATTCTATGTGGGCATAAAGATAAATTATAGAAGTCTCATATCCTGTATATTTTGGAATGGCATTAGCTCTTTTTTCTGCTTAGAACATATTTAAGAAAATATTTTATATGATATAATAATTTATGTAATTGATTAATTAAGAGATCTTAAAACATGAGTTAAATCAAAGATATAATTGTTTTTTTCTTTTTTTTAAAAACTAAATATTAGTATTATATGAAGAAGGATGCTATGAATTTATCATACCATCTTAAGATGTTACAAATTCTTCCTAATTTTAATTTTGTTCTACTTATATAAATGCTGTCATAGCCTTTTTTGGAAATCTAAATGCATTTTATTCTTATTAATTATTTTAAGGTTATTTATCATCTTCTGAACTTAATTATAATGCTTATTAAACTATTTCCATTGGTAAAAATGTATTTTTTTTATCTATTTTTCTTGATTAATATTCACTATTGAGAGTATTACGTTTAAGAATTTTTGGAGATATTTTTGTAGGACTATTTTCATCAAATTTATTTATTATTCCTTTTTAAAGTAAAACAGTCTTTAATTTGGTCATTTTCCTCTTTAATTCACTAGATGCCAATTATTCTGTTTCTTTAATTGCTTTATCCAAGAAACCTTTTTTTGTTTAAGCTTAAAATATTAAATTTTATTTAAATTTTTCTAAACCTAATTTTTATTTTGGTTAATTATTTGCTTCAATAATTTATTATTCAGCTTTTTATTCTAATCCTTATAAATATGCCTTAGTTTTTGTATATTTATCTTCATAATCTCTCTTTTTTCTACGAGCATCTTCATGTAATTCTTCACCTATTTCTCTAAATTCCGAAAAAAATATTTTAAAGAAATGTGATTTTGATAATGCTAATAATTCCGATTATTTTTATGTAATAGCAGTATATTTCCTTTAAGTTTCTTTAATTAATTCAATTTCTCCAAAATATTATCCTGCTTCTATAGTAACGAAAGGATGATAATCACATTCTTTAATACACAAAGAAACACTTCCTTCTCTAATAAAATAAATCTCACTTGCATAATCTCCCTCATTGTATATTACATCTCCTTCAGGTATTCTTAGAATGGTTAATAATGGTCCAATATAAGCTGTAAATCTTAATGGTTTCTATTTAAAAAGATCAATTCCTAGAAATACATTCTTATACATTGCTTAAGATAATTCAGTTCTTAAATTTTATGGAAGTAAATGTAAAAATTCTACAACTTCATTTTAATTATTTTTGTAACCTTATTTTAAAACTTTGCAAATTTTAACATAAAGTGCATTATCAATTTTATGATTCTTTGTTATTTCATTAAGAGTATCAATTTTTTCTTTATATTTTAAGTTTTAAGTATCCAATTAAGTAAGTAAAGAACTCACAGAACCAATAGTTACAGAGAAAAATACAACACCTATTATCATTATAAATATTGCAATCATTTATTCTGTACTATTTGTTGCTGATATGTCACCATAACCAGTTGTAGCCATAGTTTAAAATACCCAATAGAGACTCATAATATATCTTTCAATATTTGTTTAATCTCCTATATAATGTGTTATCCAAGTTTCTGATTCTGATGAAATAGTTCCTATAAAATACCAAAAACAAGAAAATAAATGACTTACTAGGATTACTGAAAATAATGAAATTATCATCACTCTAATATTTTACTATATTATATAATAATTATTACTGTAATATTAGAAAATGATGTTATCAACTCTCCAAATTTTTTCTTTTAAACACAAAATTTTAACATTCTAGACATCTTTACTAATTTTATCATTTTATAAGCCTTTGGAAGCTTAGCAAATTTCTAATATCCTGAAGTATCATTATTATCAAGAATATAATCTAAAGGTATAACGCAAATTATATCTAAAAGAAACCAACTTTTTATATAATGTTTAATAATGGTTGTTCTATCAACAACCAGCTCATCTTAATCATCCACATATGCACTCATAAAATTGATGATTATATCTATCCCATAAAGAAGATCTATTGCTAAACCTAAAACAAATTATATCGTTGTTTCTTCTTGGTTATCATCCTTAAATGAGATATCATAAGGAACCATTATACAAACATATAATAATGCCATTACTACTAAAATATCCCAACACAATTTTGTTGGATCATCTGGAAATATGATATATTTAAGATGAGCATATCTATATTTCAAATAATATTGACTACCTTTTATCAAATCTATATCTAGTTTCATCTCCTAATTCGTTCAGTTGAGTTTCTTCAAAAAATGAATCATCAGATAAGGAATCATTCTAATTTGAACCAATATTATCTCTTATTTCTTCTGGATATATACGATTTTTTTTAATTGATTATGGTAAACTATGTAAGCTACAAAATTCAAATATATATATATATATACCTTTATAATCTACTAGGTCTTAAACCTCTGCTTCTAGGTTATGAGGAATGACTTATAAATGTGCCTTATTTTAGAATACTTCTAACTTAGGGGATTATTTCCTCTTAGAAATCTTATGGAGTTTTACTGGAACGCCCATTACCACTAACTAAAGCTTGACTTCCACTTTTATTTGTTATATTTTTCACAGTTTTTTAATCTGATGGACTAGAACTACCAGGTCTCTACTTTATCCACTAATTCCCAACACTCTCTCTATCTCTATCCCTATCAGAATCTAAACTTAATCGTAAACGTTGTTTTTGAGGTTGTTATTATTCTTCTTCAATTTCTTAAATTAGTTATAATTGTTCTGGGTTCTTCAATTTATTTATTAATATTCTACCATGATATGCAATGATTAATTACTTGACAACTAAGGGTTTGGTTCGTGATTGTAAGGAGTCTGACTCTAAGTGTGTTAACTAACATGATCTTAGTTCATTAATTTAATTAAAATAAATGGCTGAAGACCTTAATCATTTTGCTAAATATCAAACCTTTTCTTCTTATTCAACAATATTTAACGAGTTTGATACTCCTTCTAAAACTTAGACTTTAAGAAGAAACCCATTAGAATATTACACAAAGAGAGGTTTAGATCCACCAAAAACGAGTTATGGTGATCCAGCAAAGATCCTTGATCATTAAGATCCTTAAAAATAGGATTAAACTAAAGAAACAACTTCTGTTGGATCAGTTCATCATTTTGCAAATGAAATTAATCGCTTATGTTTAGAAGTTGGCAAAATTATATTGAAACCTTAAGCAATCAAAGATCAATTAAATCATAAAAAGAAAAAATCCTAAGAATAATTCTAAAATCTTCCATCTAGTGATGTCTAAATTTAGTCTCTTAGATAAATTAACTCATTAAGTGATTTCAATTAATAAGTTCAATAACAGAACACCTAATAACCGATTCAACATTAATAATAAGATTTACCAGGTAGTGATTAATCAGCTAAAACTAATGGTTTAAAGCAAGACCTCAAATTAGTGTTAACACCATAAAATGAATAAATAGATTCGTTATAGTAATAAGTGTAAATTTCTTAATAAAGAGATGAACACTCATTTCATACTTAAAAGAAAACAGTTCAACAATTATATTAAAGAAATAATAAATCAGGTAATTTAATTTTACATAATTTCTATAGTATTGTCTGTTGAAGAATAATCAAAGAAAATGAAATTCAATTAAAAACCTTATGTAAGTTCTCTTACTGACTTAGCACAACATCAGGATGAGGAAATATAGAAGGCAATTAAAATTTTGTAAGGAGGATTTAAAAAACCTTGAGAATGAACATATAATTATGTAACTTTTTTTAAAAATAAAATAAAAATTATAAAAAATAGATTAGGTTTATAGAATTCATTATTTATATGCAAATTAAACTAATTCTTAAAATTTATCTTCTCTCAATTCTTAAAAAATTTATTATACATTCTCATAATTTTTGGCTAACAATAATTTAGATTTATATTTATTTAAAAATCCAACACATAAAATAACTAAAATTTCTAGACTATCATGTCCAATTATTTGATCATAAATAGTTAAAATATGGGGTGGATCCATATCTCCTACAAAACAATAAATCAATTAATGTATGATTAATTTTAATGTATCACAACCAATAACCTTTAAATGATGGAATAATTTAGGAGAATTTGTACTTATAATTTCTTCTATCTACATACATAGAGATAAAATTGAGTTATTTTCTGAAGAAATGGCATGCAAAAAGCAAAAATATCTACAAAAAAATTCTTTAAATAATGCATAGATTATATGTATTTTTGTTGAGAGATAACATAATGGTGCAACATATTTGGAAATATTTTTGAATGGAAAGAAACCTGTAATTGGTAATTAAAATTCTGTATGTTCTTTCTTAATCCCATTTTATAATTGAATCTAAGGAATAATAAAAAAATTAAAATACTCTTATATTTTCTTTAATTGTTTTATCTCTAATAAAACATTTTAAACAAGTTAGAATTTATTCTTAAAATACAAAATAGAAAGTATCTTCTGAGATTTCATGTCCATCAATTTCTAATAATTCATCATAAAATAATTAATGTAAACATTCTTTTTAAAGTTTTGTAAAGTTTTATTATAAGATAGTTTCTTAATGATCAAATTCAAAATATTTTAAATACAATAGACATCTTTCTCCATTAGGTACAAATGTTTATGCTATTTTTTCTAATTCTATATCTAGATGTTCATTTTCTATTTACTTTCTAATTTTATTAATTTTTTCATCTTGTAATTCTTCTTATAATAATAAGTATTAATATTTGTCTAATATTTATTATGATGACTTTAATGGTATATTAATATTCAAAAGTTTATTCGATTAAAATTGTACATTTTAATAAAGAGCACTAGATTATTATTACTTAAAAGTTTATAAAAATGCTAATAAATTCTTTTCATCATAAATGTATAACTTTGAATCAGTATTAGTGTCATCTTCTTCCTAATTTTTTGTTTTTTAATGAACTATGTCTAAATTTTTAAATAATAATTCTGTCCATTTTATTTTAGAGGTGTTCAGAAAGTCAATTTAATCTTCCTTTAGAGTTTCTCTTTTCTTAGATTTTTTAAGAATATGAGATATCAAATTAGTTAATTAATCCTCTATTTCACAACTTTAAGCAAATTTTTGAATATCATTTACTCCAATTTTCTGTTAATCATTAAACCCTTTTTTAATCTACATAGAGTATTGAATACTTTCTTTTTAATGTCCCAGAATTATTTTGAAGACTTAAGTTTCATCAATATTTCTTAATTATCTAACTATTACATTGAACAATTAATTTATAATACAAATTATTTTTAACTTGTAAACTTTTATAATTATTTTACTTAATTCAATTCAAATGATAAATTAACGATTTCTTTAATGTAAAATTTGTATAAATCATAAATATCAAATTTCTTCTCCAGCTTATTATCTCTTAGCTAATTATTCTCTCAAGGTTCTCAATTCCTTATTGACTAATCCAATAGTTTATGAAACAACATCTCTATCTGATGATCTGGCAGATCTAGCATCTTAGTAGTCTTAAACAGCCTCTTCACATGAGGTGAATCTATCATGTCTATCAGCTGAAACGTTTTCAATTCTTTATTCAGTTGTATCGAGTGAAGCTTCAACTTAAGCAATGATATCATTCAATGAAGCTAAATCAGAAATAGCGTTAGCAAGGGCTGAACCAGCAACATTCAAAGCAATGACGATGAAGTTTCTTGATTTCTTATAAGATTCAACTCTCTTATCTTCAGCGAATCTCAATAAAGATAATGAATCAGAAATTTTAGCCAATAATTCATCAGCTAAATCAATAATCTTTTAGACGGCACCAGCATCAGCTAATTATTCAACTTTTGAGGCAATTGTTGCGAAGGCTTTGAATAATTTGCTATATCCCTTTCTGTGTTAGAATTTAGCAGTCTTCTTGGCAGATGTAGAAAAATGCTTTTAGATCAAGTTAGCAACATCCTTGGTGAATTTGTGTGGTTATTTTGTAGCTTTTCCTTTTTAAACGAAGGATTCATGTTCAATGTTATCAGCAAAAAGTCTTCTAGCTTCAGCAATGATTGCTGTTGCTTCTTAATGTTCTAAAACTTTCTCTTCAAAATCTTCATGTTCTTCAGCTCTTTAAGCATCAAGTTCACTCACGTCCTTTTAATATCCCTTTACTTCAGCTGACTTTTAAGCTACTAATCCTTCTAAAATTGATCTTTATGGATATAATTATCCTTCTAATCTTGCTTCAAGTTCAATCTTCTTTCTATTAGATTCAGCCAAATCTTTATCGAAAGCAGAGATATCCTAAAATATAAACTAATGATCATACAACTGTGCAAGCACCTTAGTACTCTTAGTTTTTAGCATCATCTTCTTTTTATTCAGCTACGTATCTATCTTCTAAGTCTGTTAATGTTGAAACTAATCTATCTAATGGGTCTCCTGTTTAAAGTTCTAACCAGATAGTATCGAACAATGTTCTTCCGAATGGCGATTAGTCTATCTTTTTAATTGTATCAATAACATCAGCCTATGTTGATGAAACTAAGACAATAAGTGCTAAAGCTAAAATGATGGTCTTCATTAATAATAATATTAAAATATATCATCCAATATCTACATTTTGAATCAAAAATTTAGCAAATATATTCGTTTTTAAGAAAATGCTTCAATTTTTATGGCAATACTCAAATTTATTAAATTTGTATGAATTTCTAATATCACACATTAAATAATTAAAAACGATATTTAAAAAGTGAATTAACGAAAGGAAATTTATTCTGCAACTGACGCATTGTTTCAATTTAATTAATTTTTTCAGAAAAAATAATAAAAATAAAAATGAGAAAATCTCCATAAATTAAATTTGAAGAAAATTATACACTTTCATTTACCACAAATTTATCTTAAATCAGATTTTTGGACTAAATTTCATCGATATTATTTAATTATTTTAATTCATACTTCTTACATCTTATTCAAAGTATAAGTTAAATACTTTTCTATAGAATTCATATATTCAATAATAATTTTATTAAATATTCCTACTTTTGATAATGAATTTGTTCTATTCAATAAATTTTGAAAGTCATAAAATTAATATGTAAATATATAAGTAATAAAAATTGTGTTTAATTGATAGAAGATCATTTTGTTATGAATTTTTAATCTATTACTTAAATATAAAATAGGTAATTATTTTTGAAAATTCTAATATACACATCATTAATATTATTAATCTAGAATTTTCTAATGTAATACTTACTTACACTTCTTTTTTTCACTTTAATCCTAGGATAATAAGTGCCAGAAGAGAATGGAGTTTTAATATTAACAGATTAAAACTTTGAATATGTTTTGAAAAAATATGAATTTGTATTAGTGGATTTCTATGCTCATTGGTGTGGACATTGGTATTAATCATAAATAATATTTAGTCATCATTTAGCTCCAGTATTTGCATCATGTGCAAGATAAGTCAGGAATCAAAATGTTTAATTTGCTAAAGTATTAAAGTCAATAAATTTAAGATCAATTGTCCTTAATATGAACATTTGTGTAGAAGATATTAAGTAACTGGATTCCCAACCTTAAAATTATTTGGTGATGGATAATTATTGATGGAATATCAAGGTGAAAGAACAGAAAAAGCTATTGTTGATTGGATGAGAAAGAAAACAAGTAATCATAATATATAAATATTTGTTTAGATAAAGGATCTATTGAAGCTAAATCATTAGATTAATTAAAGAAGATTTCAGAATCTCCAAATTTAGTTATGGTATTCTATGGTGAATAGAAAGAATCTTATGAATTTATGTAATACTTGTAATTCTCACAGTAATCTTAATGTTTAATGTTTTTAGAAAGAATAAACATATTTAAGCTATGCACACATTTAATTAAAACTATGCTAATGAAATGAGAGTTTAAGTACCAAGCATTGTTGTTTATAAACCATATGATGAAAGAAAGGCTTCAATTGTTGATAATTTTGAGATTTCATACATTGAATAATTCATTAAAAAACATTCCTATCCAGTTTTAATGAATTTTGATATTTAAGTAAGGATAAAAATGTTAAATTATTAGACAGCAAAAAGAATATTTAAAGGAGATTAACCAACACTTTTTTTAATATAAAATTCTTTAACAAATCAAGCAGAAAAGTAATTAAGATTAGCTTTATCTAAAATAAAAGATTAGATTCTTATTTGCATTGCTAATACAGATAATAAATATGGATTAAGACTGATGTAATATTTTGGAATTTAGAATGGTATAAATATATATTTAATGTTTAGATTATCTACCTTAGATTGTGGCATTTAATCCAATTTCTGAGTCTTTTAATTTATTGAGTGAAATCACAAAAGATGGAATCATTAATTTTACATAATAATTCCTAGGTCTCCAATAAAATTCATAAAAATAGGACTTATGATATATATAATTTATTATGTTTTTAATATGTGTTAATATAAAATGTTATCTTTATGATTAATTCTAAATATTTCTGAATTCAATTAAAATTATTCTCATTTTAAATATTATATATATATATTTTGGATTCAATACTATATATAGATATGAAATCTATAAGTCCATTAGAATCATTTATTTGACAATATTTATTTTATTTTACTTAATTTGAATTAGTAAATTAGGTATAAAAAGATTTAACTTACTTGTTTAGATTTAATAAATAAAATTCATTAATCATGGGTGCTTGCTAAGTAAAATCTAAACTAAAATCTGAATAAAAACAGAGACTAGAAAAAAAAAAGAAACTACTCTATAGCAAATCTATACTTAATGGCACAGTTAAGAACTATACTTTTGAGAGTTAACAGACAATAAAAACAGAACAAACATAATAGAAAGAATAAGTTAGCAGTATCTTAATCTCTACTCAAAACTTTAATAAAGTCTATACTATGTTAAATTAATATAAACCCATTATAGGTATTTATTTTTTTTTAAAAGTTATATAGTAGGAGAAGACAAAATCTTAACGATCTAACATAATATCAATGCTTAAGTGAGACATGCTAGATTTATAGAAAGATCACCAGAGAATGATTCTTGGATAGAAACTTTTTTAAAATAAAATTTAGTACCAATAATTTAATAAATATAGAATCATCCGAATATAATAAGAGTTTACGAATATTTTTCATCAGAAAAAGATTTCCATATTCTAATTCAAGAATAGATTTTAGGTATTTCTTTATGTGAATACATAAAACCAAGTGAATAAATTAAAGAATGTTTGGCTGCTTAGTTAATTGTATAAATATTATAGGCTATCTAATATTTACACTAAAATAACATAGTACATGGAAGAATATCTTAAAATTCATTCTTTTTTGCTCAAGAAAACAACTTTACTAAATTAAAATTAGTCGATTATAAAGATATTTATTTAAGACCAGAACTTAATCTTAATTCAATAATATTTATTCCTCCTGAATTAATAACTTTTATTTAAGAGGAAAAGTTTTCAAAAGAAGGTGATATATGGGCTTGTGGAATCTTAGCTTATATTATTTTAAATAGTGCATCTCCTTATTCTAAATGTAAAACTATATAGAGTATGTAAAATCAAATAATGAGAGGAACTTTATTCTTTGAATCAACAAGCTTTGATAAAATATCAAGTTCAGGAAAAAACTTTGTTAAAAAAATGTTAGCTAGATTATTAACACAACGTCCTACAATCTCATAAGCACTTAATGATCCATGGATTACTTAAAATGTAATACCAAAAAAAATTAATACCAAAGACACTATTAATAGACTTTCTTAATTTAAATAAGCTAATAAATTATAGTTTCATTTAATGATTCACATGATTAATGTATTTTTTAGTTAGACTTTCTCATAATTAATTAATACATTTAATGAATTTGATGTGAATAAGGATGGAAGAGTTAATATGGAAGAAATGATGGTAGCATACAAGGTTTTAGGGACTGGAGAAGAAGCAAAAGATGAAGTCAAATAAATTTTTGAAAAACTAGACACTGATGGAAGTGGAGATATAGATTTTTATGAATTTGTCATAGCTGTCACTGATCGTTAAGCTTTATTCACAATTTAAAACTTATAAATGACCTTTTAAACTCTCAACATTAGTAGAAATGGAAGACTTACCGACTAGGAATTATCTTATGCTCTTTAAATTCCTATAGAAACAATTTAAGAATACCTTCCTAAAACACATATATCAAAAAATGGAAAAGTAATTAATTTAACAATTTTTAGGTTACCTTAGATTTAAAATCATTTAAGGAGTTTATGTTGGAATTATTATGATATTAACCTTTTTTTATATATTCAAATCTTTATAATTATACATCATATTTCTTTTCTTATTAATATCAAATTAAAATATCATCATTTATATAACCTAAATTTATAAATCAAATAATCTTTAAAATTTAATTGAATTCAAATAAAAATTAAACAGCATAAATGATAGGAGAGTAAAAAACGAAGAAAAATAATTTAAATTCTATCAAAAAAAGATTTAATTTGCAGATAACAGGAATCTTAAAATATAATAATTATACAGTAATTTGGATTTAAAAATTAATGTATATATTTTACAAAGAATTTATTCAAGATTCATAGGATAATAAAGTAAGAAATTCGATAACCTTAGATTCATTTGTATATAAGCTAATTAGCAATCTTATAAATCTATTTAATAATTAAGGTAATTAAAGTTCAACAGCCTTTAAAATTAAGATATTGTGGGTTAAGTATAATTTGTAAAAAAATACTTTTAATCTCTAACAATTATACATGTTAAAAAGATTATTATTAATTTAAAATTGTTACATTGAAACCATAATTTCTATTAATGGTTTATTATTAGTAGATACGTTTATGTTTTCTAATAAATCAAAGAATGAAAAATTGAAATTTATTGAATCTTTTTACTTTAAAAATATCTTTCATAAAGAAGTGGAATTATTTTATCATTATATCTTGTAATTCTGTAAAGGAAAATAGGAGTTAAAATAATGAAATATTTTTGCAATATGTATCTAATTAATTTATCCCAATAATTTATAGAGTATTTCTCATTTTTGATTTAATCAAATTATTAAGATGCCTATACAAACCTATATTTTATTTGATTCTATTGATTTCGATAGACATAGTGATGAAAGCAAAAAGTTTTTAGAAAACTGCTTACTTATGATTTAATATAAAGGATGATCATACTATTTAGTACTAGTAATTTCAAAAGGAAAATAGAGAAATAGTTGATTTTTCTAAGTGTCGATTAGATAAGAGAAGTTAAAATTATTAATAATCTTTAGGATTATAAAGGTTTATTATTTCAACTCTCAAAAATAATAATGTTTGCCATTGTTTATATTACCTTTCACATCAACTGAGACTAAAATATTTTATTTAATTAATTATAAGAATCTAATAGAACACTCTAGCATGGACAAAATTATGAAGAGTTTATTGAAATGTTTAAAAAAGGTTGATTTTAATAAAAATGAATTTTTAAACTTTGTGAATTCATTATTGTTATTGTAATTGATTATTCAGTCTTAGATTATTCAATATTTATAAATAAGTTTAAAAATAATAGATCTGAAAATTGGGTTAGATGAATTTTTTATTCATTAAATTATAATAGTTTAAAATTTAACTTTATTTCAATATCGAAATTCTAAATATAATATTGTAAGTATTTTTCTTAACTATATCTAATTGGTATTCATGGATTTTCTTTTCTGATATTAATTTATATAAAATAAATTCATATTTTTACTATTTGATATAACAAAGTCATTTTTAATAAAATTAATAAAATGAACCAAGATAAGATGACAGAAGAAAAAGAGAAAAAAAAAACTAAAAGATTTGATAAACGTAATCAACCTATTCTTAAAGGAGTGTCAGCAAAAGCTGTCACATTTAGAGATTAGATTGAAGGCATTCCAATATAAGATGTTTATATAGTTGAACGAATATAATACTAAGAATAGAAGAATAAATGTTCTTGTTCCTGTGCTATTCAATGATGTAAATATTGATTATACTGAATAAATATTTTATTTTATTTATGATTTCATGAATAATATTTATTTTCTATGGGAACTTAAACTTTATGTTCTATATGATAATCTTCTCTGTTTTATTATTTTGACAATGCTTTTGGATCTAAAAGTATTATCCCATATTAATACCTAATTAGGAGACTTCATCACCCAAAGTATTTTATATCAATCTAATAGATTCCACTGGGAAACTATTATCAAGGACATGCCAATAATTTGGATCTCCTCTGAAAAATGTTAAATGACCCTCTTATTTTGTTTTTTCCTATATGAAAAAAGTTATAAAAATAAAATAAATACGCCAATATTTTTAACTACAGTATGTAGATCAACTATTAATTATCTAAAGAGTGGATCATTTTCTTAAAGATTAAATCCAACTTTTTCATTTAAATTTGGATGATAATCATCATCTAAATTAGTATTATTCAAATCTTCTAGTGCATTTTCATTCACTTCTTCCCATTATTGTCTAACAAAGCTTGCCATAACTTCTCTAATGTTTTCTCCTTAGAAAAAGTCTTAGAGTGCATCTCCACCTCCAACTTAATTTGAATACACTAATTTAATATAATGATATCTAACCTTTTTAAGATAAAGGTAATCCATATTTTTATTCATAGAGTTAAGTTGCAGTTTATACAGCTTCTGAATTGTTTACTTAATCTTTAGTTAATAATTTTAATCTGACTAATCTAATAGATTCTTAATTTATTATCAATTACTTTTCTGTTGGAGTTTCATTCAAAGGGTCAGTAAATGTTACTTTTGCTACTCTCTCAATTACAGGTTCATCATGTCTGACATAATATTTTGAATCACGATAAGGAGTTTTGAAATCATGTTCAACATGATTAATTTATTCAGATGCTGGTGCAGGATATCTGAAAATATTGTAACCCTAATATATTAATAAAATTTATTCACAGGAGTAAGTATTCTAAACCATTATACAGATGGATGGAATAGAGTATTATATGCTCTATTTAACATGTCTTAATATATAGATTTCATTCCTTTTATATTAAATAAAAATATTAATTAATTTTATGAATTAAGAACCTTTAGAAAATATCATTGATAGATTGTAATTACTAAAATAGATAACTTAATAGTTAAAGAGACAGACAGACAATAATAGACAGAATGAATGAAAGAAATTAATTATTTGAAAAGGCTAATTAAAATTATAAATCAAATCTATAAAGAGAATTAGAAACAATTAAATAAACAAAGTAAATTTATTCAAAAATATATTTTTAGTAAATAGGCAGAACAAAGAGATTAAGAGTTTAGACAATACATAATATAATTGTTCAAATCCTATGATGAAGGAAACTAACAAATGAAATTAACTATTCAATAAACTATACAAGAAAAAATTAATTATAACGATTATTTAATTAGAAATTATCCACTTGATAATTTGAAAGAAAAAAAGGAATTATAAGAGGAAAACATATTGCTCAGAAATTAAATGGAGGTTTATATATATTATGTAGTTTAAGTCATTCATATAATAAGCAAATACTCTAGCAGCTTAATCCATTCCTTTAATAGAAATTTAACATAAAGAATAGGATGATAATTTAATTTTAGACAAGTACTTAGGATAATATTAAGAAACTAATATTTAATAGATATAATAAAATCAAATTTATAGTCCTTAAACTAATCAATAAATCTTCACAAAATCAACAATATAAGGATAAAATCAAATTAATTAAGTTAAAATATAAAACTAAACTACAAAAAAAATAGAAAAAGATTTTCTCTAAGAATTTATGGTACCTTTTGGAGGAAAGTAAGGATGAAAACGTTTTTTGATTATTTATTTTTAAAATTTGTTGATAACAATAAAAGAATTAAAAATAAAGTAGGTCTTAATCTATAGACAATCGTAACATAAATTTAATTCAATTTGATAATTATTCAAGTGATTAATTTATTTTGATAATTATTAAAAAATGGATGAAGATGAATAGATAGACTAAACGATGGTAACTTTTGGTTCTATAATTGCCATATCTGATTTTGTTGATCAAACAGCATTCTTATTCTCAGATGGATTTTTGAAACCTTAAGTATTTTTAAAAAACTTTGTTCATAAAGAATAAAAAAAGTATTAAAGAATGATATAAAAGAAAAACATTTGATGGTTTAGATAATTACTCATTTTACAAATGTTTATTTTAGGTTTTGCCTAGAGTTTCTGATACAGTTAAAACACGTGTTTTATAAGATTATAATGTAACCGATATTAAGAAAGAAGATAAGGATGGACAAGATGTATTTCAAAAAAATTAAAAATATAGGATAAGATAAAAATGACTAATTAAAGAATGAATGAAGAACTTAGTTAATTAATGAATGAGTATAAACAAAATATAGATGCGATAGATAAATCCAGATGTTAAAAATTAACATATCATTAACCATTTTAATTATTACATATTGCAAGTGGTAAGTTTTTATCATGTCATGATAATGAAGCATAATTAGAAAATCAAAACTATTTAATTAAATTAGATGACTACTCAAGTGATTACACTGTATTTAAGATAGTACCTGCATATATGTATTAAAGTCATGGAGAATAAGATGTAAATGCAGGTGAAATGTGTGCTATTACTAGAGCTATGCCTATATCAAATAGATTTGCATATATTAATTGTTCATAAATGGAAATTTCAGAAATTAAAGGTAATGCTTCATTAAAATCTGAACATATTTAGAAGAAAGAAATAAATGCTAGTGTTGAATAGTCTCATTCTTGGAAAATAGTCTTATTTTAATAATATATATCGGAAAATTCCAGAAATCTAAGAGTTGGAGATTGCATTTGGTTGTATCATAGTGAAGCAGAGGCTACACTTTCTGTGAAAAAATATCAAGAAGCAGTTGATAAGAATAATTTCTCATTTTATCATCTCTCTGAATGGCTTTCTATAAAAAATTTATATGTGGCAATTACAATGTCTTAAACAGAGAGTGCTTAAGGATATTAAGGAAGTACAAATGGATTATGGTAAATTGAAGGGGAGGAGTTTCTTTAAGGAGGATTTGTCAAATATGAAGCTGGGTATAGACTTAAGAATGTTACAACTGGATATTATTTAAGTGTTACAGAAATTACAGGTGATAAGAATAATAAATAGAATAACAAACAATAATATAAATATCGTTTAACTTAAGAATTGGATAAATCAACAATTTTTATTTTTGTTGATCTTAAAACTCAACCAAATTAAAAATATTTAAAGGGAGGAAGTTACACATATTTATAAAATAGATAAAGTAAAAATTGGATGGATTTTTAAAATGATAAGTAAAATCATGAATATATTCCAATTTTAAAACCATATTAAGAAAAAACTGAACATGCAGTATTTAAAATTCATATGGCTACTAGAAATGAAGTTTGGGAAATTTAATTTTTATAATCTTGTTTTAGAAGATTAGCTAAATTTGTTATTTAAATTTAAGATCCAAAATATCCAGGAATTAATAATTTTCCTTCTAAAAGAAAATGGTTTGGAGTATTTTAATAATTAAAAAGTTGTATTGCAGAATTAGAAAATTTTGTAAATAATAAATCTTATACTACATCTGCAGAATAATAATTTGGATCGATAAATTAATATAGATAGAAATTAATGAGAGAATAATTTTATATTGATATTCTTATTAAAATATTAGAAAGAATAATTACTAAAGGAGAATTAGAATTTTATTAGAAATTTGAAATTGATTAAGATTAAAGTGAAAAACAATCCAAAAATAATTTTGAAATTGTAAGTAATATTATTTTTGATGATAAATCTTTTATGATACATGAATAAAAGACTGAAAATACCTTAAAAACTTAATATTATAATTATGTTAAATCTAAAATTGAATTAATTGATTAAATCTACTAATTCTTAGGATCTGTATGTAAATTAAATAAAGAAAATCAAATATATACTTATGATTTAATACCATACTTTTAATTGCATACTAAATACTTACCTACAGCAATTGAAGCAGCTATTAATATTGTATCAAACAATAAATATTTATTATATAAATTAAGTGAAGATATAAAAATTGAATTTTATGAAAACAATGAAATTGATAATCAATAAATAAAAATACTTATAAATTTATATTAGTTTGATGAAAAGGAAGAATAAATGGAAATAAAATAACATGAAAAAATCATAAAAAAACCTGTCCCCTTAATTGAATATTTCATTAATCTCTTATGGGATGATGAAGCAAAAAACAATTCATATTATTTAAAATTTTTAAGAAATGTTTGTAGTCATTAGGAATTTCCTATTTAAATAAATTAAGAAAATATTTACAAATTATATAAAAAGAATAATACAAAATAACCTAAATTAGGAGTTGAAACTAAAGCCGAAGAAAGTAAAAGTAATGATGGTACTGTTAGATTAACATCCAAAGCAGGATAATTAATCATACCTTAAGATTGTGATATAAGAGATATTAATAAAAGTTCAAGAGACAAATTTATGTATATAATTGAATAACTAACTTTTTTTTCAGAAGTAGCTTTAGGGAGAAACTATTCATGGAAAAATGAATTAGGTGCATAATTTGAAAAATCATTTTTATTTAGGAATATTTGGTTTAAACATCCTATAGATCCTAAATATATAGATTTATAGCCTGGTTTTGCTAGATTAGCATTGAATTTATATATTGATTAAGAACCTTTAAGAATAAAGAAAGCACCAATTATGTGTTAATTATTTAGTGAGTGTGAAAAACCTAGGGATTATATCCTTTTCAAGAGCTCAACTAAAGCAGGATAATCTAATGTTTAAGAATTGAATACATACAAAGATTTAGTGAATAATTTAATGAATTATGTAAATGAAAAAGGAGGAGAATTATATGAGATTATGTGTCCTCCAATTCATAATTAAGGTGGTGAGGAACGAGATTCTAAAAGA